ATTCAAGATGTTCTATTGTTGTCCTAACGCCCATTACTCCCTTTCATGTGCATTTCGTGCGTACCTCAGCTGGGGTATCTATACATGTATATCCGACACTTCGTGGAGTACTTTGCTTGCTTGCGCATGCGCATTTTCGTTGATATCATAAGTACCTATGTAGGTAGGTATCTATCTAGCAAGTCCAGAAACTAGAATAGCATAAAATAGCCGAAAAAATCAAAACCAAAATCAAAATCAAAATCCATCTCCTCTATCTATGAAACTCCAAATGACAAGCACTTTAGTTAACAGAAATGCCATTCCCATTCCCGTTCCCAGGTCCGTTCGCAATAATCTCTCTCGGTTTCCAAGTATCCTCCTGTTTCGTTCCAGGCGGTAACCAGGAAGCATTACTACTACCCCTTAGCCTCCCATTTTTGTCAAATGAATTGTCATCTGATCTCTTATTATCCGAGTTTCCAGACGATAATGAGTAGCCACCACCTCGTGCTTGAATTGGGGATTCAAAGAGGACTTGGGCTTGAGTGTCGGGGGCGAGTCTACCGGACGTTGTGTTTAGAGGGAGAAGAGATTCTTCTTTAATATTTAACATTTTGGCTTTGCGGTCTGCTTTGTTGGAACCCTTGGTACGGTCATAGAGGTAAAGACCGAAGAATGTGAGGGCAATGCCTAGACCTTGAATTTTGGTTGTAGGGTTTTGGAACCAGATTATAGCGATTACAACGACAAAGACGCGTTTTATGAGAGAGGCAACAGAATAGGTGACGGGAGAAACCATGCTAAGGAGAACGAATGCAATGATGTTTTGACCAAAGTGGAATGTTCCGTTGAAGACAAATTCGAGGGCTAGACGTCCGTGATCGAAGGCTTCGGGGTGGGAACTCAAATCAAGAGATCCATCGTGAAAGAAATCGCCTAAGAGAGTGATACCTTCCGACCAGAACCAGATAGGTGACGTAACAAGGAAAGCGAGACCCGACGAGTAGCAGAGAAGATTGAGCTTATCTAATTTATTGGTGCGTGGTTGACCTGCTGCTTCTGCGATTGCGGCTTCATTGAAGAGCTTTTTGGAGAATATATTTTGGGTGACAAATATTATGGCTGCGAGGAAAGCGTAGATTATACCAAATATATTTCCCCTGAATTCTGCGGAACAGGCGAGCATGACGCCGAGTGTGAGAGGAACGAGAGAGAGATATGTAGCCACTGGGTAACGAATATTATATATAAGTCGATATGCGACCACTGTGAATAAGGGGGAAAGCCCTTTGATTGTGTGAACCAGTGAGACCGGAATTTTAGCTGTCGCCGTGGAAGATAGAAGATGACCACCGATTTGGAAAGCAGCCAGAGGTAGTGTGGTCATAATGACTTCTCTTGTAGGATATCGGATTCCATGTCGTAGAGCTGGAATTGCATTTTTGAGTTGTGGGAAAGTCGCGGAAAGCCAGGAGAAAAACAGACAATAGAATGCGACAAATGCAAATTGTATAAGAGTAAGAGTCGCAGGTTTCGGGAAAGCATTTAGAATCGATTTCGAAGATGTGTTTGTCAAGGCGCTTGAAAGATACCATACTATACATAAGACCTGGAAGGATTAATTTAGTGTTTGTCAAATACATGTGGGAGGTGTCTACAAACAATTAATTTAGGAGAGACTGGAGCCTTTAGGGCGTCCGAAATTTCGTGTACATTGGCACTCATACTCCCTTTCCTCGACTTAATTGTCTTAAATGCATCACTCAAACTTTTTTGCTTTCTATGCCCTCTGCCATTATTCGGTTCTCCGTTTGTCCAAGAATCCCCTCTCATTCTATCATTTCTTTGTGCCTGCCAACGATCCACTGGAGGAAGACCCCCGCTGGGATATCCATTGGACTTTCGTGAGCTATAAGAATGTTGTCCATCGTATTGATCGAAGGTGTCAGAAGTATCAAGATCTGGGAACTTCTCCATGGATGTGCGCGAGCTGGCCTTCGTATCACCAGGAAATTTGAAGCTCGTTTGTGCAATTCGACCAGGCGAAGGACCTCGAGTCGAATGAGGCATTGTGAAATATATAACTACGAATTGGAATTATCATCCGAAATATTCATCGCGCGGGGAAGGTATCGATTGTAGATTCGGATTGTTTGTAATGTTGACATGAGAGTATTCAATTCAATTGTATCAACCAATAATGACGATACCGTACTCGTAGGACTAAAGGTTGTTACTTAATTAGCAACGGCTCTAGATTTCGTAATTTCTGACGGGATTTACCGACGCTAAAATAATCGCGATTTGATATTGACTCTCTTCGATAATACCTACATCGAGCATCGCGACGAGCTCTTATTTTATCTCTCGTTGATAAATTATTTAATCGCAGAGCTATCATACGAAATACAAATACCAGATATATTGATACGAAGCTCGAAGAAGAGACCTTTTTACGAATTTAAGTCACAATCTTGTCAATTGGGCTTGTGGCCCCCAGGTCGCAAAGATGGCGCCGAAAATGACCAAGAATCAAATGCGGCGCGCAAAGAAGAAGGAGCAGAAGAAAGCAGCACAGGTTGGTCTAAGTATATTTCTGATAACTACAGTCATTAACAATTTCTAGGTGACCCCAACACCAGAAGCAGATGTTCCAAAAGATTCAGAACCAAAAGTCGAGGCAATTGAGCCTGCCGAAACCACTGAGGAACCGATCAAGAACGACGAAGAACAAGCCAGAAACGATGAAGATCCTTTGGAAGCAGATATTGCAGACTTTAATATTTCTGAAGATGATCCAAATTTTGCCATGTTTAAGAATATTATGGACAGATTTGGTGCTACTGCTGAAGAAGATCAGGCTGCGAAAGATGCAGACAATGGCGACAAGGGTGAAGTGTTTTTCGATGGTGATGACGAAATTCCAGACGAGGACGAAGAAGCAGATAAAGAGCCCAAATTATCTAAAAAGAAGAGGAAGGAGAGAGACAAGCTTTCTGTTGCAGAGCTGAAAGCTCTCGTAAGGAAGCCAGAGCTTGTAGATTGGACTGATACCTCAGCTTCGGATCCTCGATTACTTGTCCACATCAAATCATACCGAAATGTCGTTCCAGTGCCGAATCATTGGTCCCTTAAGCGCGAGTATCTATCATCGAAACGTGGTGTTGAGAAGGCTCCATTTTCTCTTCCGAAGTTCATTCAGGAGACTGGTATCGCCGAAATGCGTGACGCTGTGTTGGAAAAACAGGATGGAGCTAGTTTAAAACAGAAGCAAAGGGAAAGGGTGCAGCCGAAAATGGGAAAATTGGATATTGATTATCAAAAGTTGTATGAAGCTTTCTTCCGGTTTCAAACAAAGCCGGAACTAACACGTTATGGTGAGGTTTACTACGAGGGAAAGGAGTACGAGACGAATCTACGACATTTGCGACCTGGCGAGTTGAGCGACGACCTCAAGGACGCATTAAATATTCCACCTGGAGCTCCGCCTCCATGGTTAATCAATCAACAACGTTTCGGCCCACCGCCTTCGTATCCTTCACTTAAGATTCCCGGGCTAAATGCACCACCTCCACCGGGTGGTGCATGGGGATTTCATCCTGGTGGTTATGGAAAACCCCCTGTTGATGAGTTCAATCGACCCCTTTATGGAGGAGATATCTTTGGTGTCCTTCAACCACAAGTTAACAACCAAGCAGGTGAACCTATTGAGAGAACACTTTGGGGTGAGTTACAAGCACCCGAAGAGGAGTCTGAAGAAGAAGAAGAGAGCGATGAGGAAGAAGAGGAAGGTGATGAGGAGGACGTTGGTGGTTTGCAAACGCCTAGTGGTACAGAAACACCAGGTGGTATGGCATCAACTGTACCATCGGAATACCCTGGTGAGATGAGTGTTGGTGGAGACTTTGATCTTCGTAAGCAAAAGAGGGGAACCGAGACCGAAGAGTCCACACACCCAAGATCTGCTTATACTGTCATTCCTGAACGCCAGATCCGCGCTGAAGGCTTCTTTGGCGGTGAAAGAGCTTATGATGTACGCGCTGGTCAAAATGCACATTTACCAGTATTAGGACAAGAAGATACCAAAAAGAGGAAGAAGCCAGGAGATGTAGATGTTGCGTTGGATCCAGATTCTTTGCAAAATGAGGATGGTATAAGCAAGGAAGAAGTAAAACGAAGGTTTGAGGCTCAAAAGAAAGAGGAACGAGGAGCTTGGCAATATGACGAAGATTTAAGTGATATGATTGCTCAAGAGAGTAGGAAGAAGCAAAAGAGAGACGAAGAAAAACGAGGCGAGAAGAGAGAAAGGTCCTACAGATTTTAAGATGGAAAGATGTTAATGCGGCGTTGAATGGAGGTTGGCAAAGGCACTACTGGTGCTTTTCGTATGTAATATCAGAATACTGGGAAGGCAATGGAAATTTGTGTGAAATAGATTTTACGATTGATACTCTTTGTACTTATTGTTCCTAGCATTCAATTGTATAACAGATCTTGACACAAGACTGCAAGAAATTAATATCTTGTTCAATCCTCACCCCTACACGTGATGTAGACGTGCTCGGGATAAAGCGGCCGCTAGTGTAATATCAACAGCTTGGAAATTGTTTTTGGAGCTTTGGAAACTGCGACATAATTCATCACATCTTAATTCACTCTACGCCATTTTATGTTCAAATACTTACATGACGCAACAACGATTTGAGACGATATAGTACCAAAATTTGAAGCATATTTTAACTCATCTGAGGAAAGTTCGAACGGATATTCACGGGACATATTACAAGGAGCTCAAGATGGATAGAGGACGAGACAGAAGGTTAGTTCTTGTTTACTTTATTCACATGTATATAGTATCCGGATAGCAACATGGTATATCGACATTGAATGCATATATCATTGCCGGGTTACCATAAACATTAAAGGAACTTGCAATATCAATACAAAATCCATAACCTCCAAGAGCAAACACGCAGCATACGTTATTTGCAGATTGGTCAAAAGCTACCGTTGTTTGAATGGACGCAGAAGACCACCTGGAAGAATACCCAAAAGCTACATGGAATTGGATAAATAGTAGTATACAATTCGCACACAACTACTTTGCTCAAAGAACCCGCGAATATTGTTCATGGTCGCACGGCGCTGCCGATTTCCACATTTGCGCCTGTAGAAAGCACTTCAACGGTCGAGGGTTTCCAGAAAGCAAGAAATGCTCTAGGGAGAAGCCACTACGAGAAGATTATTTCATCAGTCGTGCGCGAACAGGAAAATATCTCATATCATCTGAGGCTGTGGTTGGAGTTATGCCTGGTCGAGCGGCTCGTACTCGTCATTTGGCTTGGTATGATGCCCAGCTTTGTGCTCGTCTTGGGACCCATGGAAGCTTGAGTAAAGGAGGGGGCTCGCAGACTAGTGATCTAAAACCTCTCATGGAAAGCAACGAAAAAAATGTTGATTCAAGCTATAATCAATCAATGGTTAAAACCGAAAATCCCAACGATGCAACATACACACCGGCCAGAACAGAAGAGGAATTCGACTTGTCGCATATTGAGAACCTCACGATTAGGGCTGATTGGAACTTCGAGGCTGCTCTAAGGCCGAGGAATGCGGGATCTTTTTCGAATAATAGAAAGGAAGTGCTAACGAATAAAAATCGCAGATTGGATATCCGAGGTGATGGCGAAGTCACAAGGCTGGGAGCGGGTGAATCTTATAGACCTAATCATAACCGACGTTCACCACCGCGAGCCGATACTTTCAGATCCGATCGCGACAGAGATAGGTCACCTCGCAGAGATCGACGAACTCCACCTTTATCCAGCGACAGTTATCACCCTAGCGCACGAGACCGTTCTCCAAGGCGTAGGTCAAGAACACCACCATACCGCGCAAGAGACCGGTCACCACCTCGAGATATGACTTGGCGTGGTAGACCCCGATCTCCACTTCGAGGTGGTCGAACTCCAATAAGAGCCAGAACTCCAAGAAGATTTTCTCCCAGACGAGATGATGACCGCAGAGATCGATTAAGGTCGCCAAGAAGAGATGAAAGGTAAAGTTCACTGCCGTCCATATTACGTCAATTGTAAATTGTTTAAACCTAACAATCTTAGGCGCCGTTCAAGGTCACCTTTCGATCGCAATCGCACACCTATTCGACCTAGATCCCCCATCAGAGCTAGATCCCCACTTCCTCGAAGATCACCGCCTCCAGGCCCAAGAGGTGGATCTTGGCGTCGCTCCCGCAGTCGCGACCCCAGAGATGTTCGCACTCCCCTCGGTCCAAGTTCGCAAACATGGCGACGTCGTTCACCTTCACCTATACGCCGAAGATCACCATCCCCGATCAGGCGTCGATCTCCTTCACCAGCACTTCGTGATTCGGAAAGATCATCAGGTAGAAGTTCTGGCACCAATTCTCGTCGATCATCTCCGCCTGTTCACCCTAGCAGACAAGCTTTAACGCAAGCAGCGACTCGTGAAGCAATACGTTCTCCAGTACCTGTCAGAGATCGATCACCCACAGGGTTGGCATACAGACAAGTAAAACAAGAGAGATCTGCTTCGAAGGATCGCTCACCAATTCGTCCCACGGCTCCAAGATCGCCTCCTAGAGGACCAGCGGCAACTTTCCGAGCCCCAACCGGGCCTAGTGGCGGTCGCAACTTCGCTGCGCCTATTCCATCTGGTCCTTCTTCAAACTATAATTCGAGATCTAATAGTGCTTCAGAGGGTAATGGTCACATCGCTCCTCCATCTGGCCCACGTGGTTACGCTCCACCTCGTGGTCCTTCCGCTTCATTGAGAGGTGGTCGGCCATCATTTAGCAACGAGCGCCACAGTCGTCCAGATACCTCATCGTGGGGAGCAGCACCACCAGCTCGACCCAACACAGATATAAACTCAAGAACAAATCTGCCACCACCCCGTCCTCCACCAAGTGTCTCTCCTTCTCCAGCAAGAGAAACCCCACCTGCTGCACCAACAGGCCCTTCCGGTATACCTACAGGTCCCCGCGCAGGCACATCAGTTTCGTCTCGTCCCTCTCTTCAACATTCCTCCAGTATATATCATAGCCGCGGTTCTATTTCAGGTCCATCATCGGGTCCTCGTATTCACCCAGCCATGGTAGGCATTCCACCCATCATACCTGGGGGAAGAATTGATCCAGCAGCTTCGGGTATCCCCACAGATCTCGCAGCTCGTCTCAAGAAGAAGGAAGAGGAAGCGGATATTCTAAGAGACGAAGTTAAACAGAAACAAGAAAAACTTAGGAAGGGATTGAAGCATTGGGATAGATTGAGTCGGGAAAGTGCAAGTATGGGCCTGAAAAGCGAGTTGAGTGAGAGTCATTTGAGGATTTTGGCCGGCGAGGGCGTTGGTGGAAAAGCGTTTTGATTGCAATTGATGGCGGTATTGATGTTGATGATTGGCGTTCAATTGAATCGGATCGATGAGTTTCATCATTTGGTCGTTTTTCTCGGCTTGGATTGGCTTCACATGGGTGTATTGGAATGGAATGGCAAGGCAAGGCATGCACTATTCGAAAACTAACAAGCAAAAAGACTTCAATCGGAGAAGCTTGGTAGATTTTCTTTTCTTACAAGTTCATCTGTCATAGAATGGTGGAGCATGTCTTGGAGGAGCGTCTGGGCGTTGATTTTTGGGACTATGGAAGTTGAACAAAATAGGCTCTCATTGAGAATGTTTCAAGCTTTTACTGTCTCTCTTTCTTTCTTTCTGATACCAGGGAAATATGACTAGTCACTGGATAAGAGTGGTAGTACTGCACTGCGTGTATTCGTACATGAACAAAAAAGAAAATGGAAATGAATCATTAATTTTGACGTGTTGATTTTGTGTTGTGTGGATTTTACTGACTTTGTCTGAGGGTTTCAAGCTATGTGACAGATTCTGGATAGCTTCATACCTATAGTTTTCTTGTGTATTACATTGGTAGAAATATTGTGATCATCTGTTATACGAACAAGTAGCTTTGGGCCCCGTTTCCGCAGCGAGAGATTGAGGAATTGCATGGCCTGGTAGTTTGATCTTTATTATATTACATATTACGTACTATTCGGATACAGTCTACATCTTCCCTCAAATATCCACCCTGGGTAAAACACCAAGCTTCTTCATTACCTGAAGTCTCTTTGCTTGACGTGTTACATCTAAGTTATTAGATCTCTATTTTGAGGTTCCATGTTGAGCTGCTGTAGCTATGGTCATCTATCCATACAGCCTGAATTCCCATATCGACTCATCCTGATCGTAACCTTTCGCTCTCCCCCGGGTTGCCAAATGTCTCAACAATAAGTAGAAGCGAAACCTCGCGATATTTGTCTTAGGGGTCTTTATGAGGTAGGCGGCGATGGCAGAGATATCACCATAGCCAAATGGATGTAGGTGAATGTGCACGAAAGGCCGCTCTCTTTGACGAGGTTGTCCAAGTGGGTGATTGACATTAGTGCCGTACCCAATTTCTTCGAGGTCCAGTATGAAATATCGTCTCGGTTCCCTCTCAAATGCGTCTGATGGCGCTCTTTTAGTTGACTTGTTTTTCAAAATCCAAGTCGACATTTATTCCGCCAGATAGTCCTCTGCCTCAACTCCTACACTCCTGGCAATCCCCCTGACTACCTCCCATCCTACCGCAACTCTCCATCTACTTCCTCCATCCAAAGCATCTGCCGCATTCGCACTCCCCATTTTAGCGATCAAGCGCAAGCTAGCTAGTGTCGCAACAGCCATTTGTATGTCCGCTTCTCCAGCGCCTAGTCCTTTGGTTTTCCTCTTTAAATTTCCATTTGTAACCGAATAGCGTCCTCGACCATCGGCATCTTCGAGTAGCACATGGTAGATAGCGATCATTCTTTCCAGCAGAAATGCCTGGGGCCCAAGTAGTTTGCGAGGAATCTTGCGCGATTTAGAGACGCCGGGTCGAGAGGTGGAAGCGGTGAGAGCCGTACCACCACCGCGCTTTTTACGCTTGGATGCAGTTTGTTGAAGGAAATGATGCTGATCTGTGCGAGGGGGGTTGTGAGAAGCAAGATAGGAGGCGATGAGTAGAAGACGAGTGTGATACGGGAGATGGGTTGTGATGTTGTTTTGGGCTTGAAGCTGAGCGGTGCTTGTGTTAGAAGTTCCATTTTTTGCAACGGAAATAGACGTAATAGGAGCAAGGACAGATGGTGTGAGAAGTGTATCATTTTGGAGAAGTGCACGATTCGCGATGAGAAGGCGAGAGAATTCGTTCGACGTATATGTCCCATTGAGTATTGGTTGGATAAAGGTAGGCCATAATTGAAGGCAGATCTCGCGAAACGAAACAAGGTCTCGTCCTGAGTATTTAGAAAGGGAATCGTAAGTTGTGGGAAGGAATCGTTCCCAAATGGAGGACGTTTCTTTGGAACCGTCGGGGAGTCTAGGGGAGGGTTTGCAAGTTCGCGAGAGAATCGTCACAAGCTCTGGTTTAGTGTACGATGGGAATTGAACATGAGGAATTCCAGGGAGGTGGAAAAAGCTAGGTCGAGGAATTGTAGTGATGAAAATTGTGGTAAGATTGGGAATCTACAGTTGTTAGAACATAGACTGCACTGATTGACGTTGGGTCCAAACGTACGATCTCACCCATTCGGGCCAATGCTGGCAGCATAGTAGGGGGAGCTTCTCTCTGTCGATCAATGCCATCAAAAACAAGAACGAATCTTTGTTTTGCAGCTTGTGCCTCATTTGTCGCGGTCCAACCTTCGAGCAATTTTCCTACCTCCACCACTAATTGTGCGAGATTCTCACACTTCGGTATATTCTCCTTCCATTCTACCGCATTCGCGACAGCTCCTATAGTTTGTTCCAGCAAATGCCTTCCAGATATGCATTCTGCGCTTTTAATTATGGCAAATTGGAATTCATTGCTGAAATGCTCTTCGGGAGTGCTGTTGTTTGCCGGGGAATGGGTCGATAATGCTTCAAGGACAGCTTTCGTTATTGTAGATTTCCCTGTTGCTTCAAGTCCGTGAAGTACAACGTTTCTGCTTGGAGCAGCTTGGATCTAAAGAAACAGGTAAGTTGACATTCAGATGTACAGCTGTGAAGTAAAGGAAGGATAGACTTACCGAGAGTAAAGTGGTTAGAGAGCGAATCTGCTGTTCTCTGCATGGAAATTGAGATGCTAATGAAGAAAGGACCAATTCATTTGGCAAAGTAAACAGAGCAACCATTCTGTTATTATCTTGCTTCTTGCAGACAACAATCGAGAGAATTACTGCAAGGCTGAAATGAAAGTACTGAGCACAAGGAAGGTACTTGAGTAAACGGCACGGATACCAAGGCGCGTCAACACGTGAGTGGATCGGCTAGCACTTCTTGCAAGGCTGTAGCTCCATGGCTAGATTAGTAAGACGGGAGTCTACATATTACCGACCTTTACCCGTCTATTCTGCCCAGTACCATTTCCTGAAATGGTTCCAAGCCTTCAAGGGTCCGAGGGTCCCCAAAGCAAAAAGGCTCCAAAATGTGATGATAAACTTCCAAGCCTTTTATTCCACTTTTTTCCCGTTTCCCTACTTTTCCAAATCCATCCAAGACTTTCTATGTTTTTATGTTATATGTCGTTGTATCCATTCACTGTTTCTTAAATCAATACCCAGGACTCACAAATTTGCACGTGTGTAGAGGAAAACTTCTACAGAACGACAAGTGTAGTGGCTGCCTCCTCTAAAAGTCGATAAAGGTCTAATCTAATAAAGTTACCGAGTTGCCATTCTAATGCCATATTAGAATTCGACTAGCCTCCGAGCTTCTTCGTGTTGTTGAGCCACAAACTACTTTATACTTTACTTCAAGTCGCTATCACTGTAGCGGATCGCACATTATCTACTTGCTGTCCAGTGAATGCAACCTTAATTACTGTGATTCGACCTTCTTGTGTCGTACTCTAACAAACATCCATCAGCTAGATGCCAATATTCCCAGACTGAGCATCTACTCCCAGACACTTCGAATTTTAAGCTCCCTGAATACAAAATCGAGATGGCGGCTGTTTTTACAACAAAAAGGCCCCATAAGAAGTCGAGGGCCGGATGTCATACTTGCAAGACAAAAAAGATCAAGGTATGTCCAATATTTACCCCATTCACGGTTTATGCTCACTGATTATCAACTAAGTGTGATGAAGCCAAACCAAAATGCTCGTTTTGTGAAATCAGAAAGCTTCCTTGTCAATACATACAAAAGGTCGCCAAGGTGAATGATACTACTAGCTCAACGGAACAAAACCAAACTACCTCTTTGGTAAAATCTAGTACTCATGATCGGCTTGTTCAACCAGCCGGGCTCTCCTGGGACCCCAGAAATACACCATTCCCGCCATTGCGTACAGCCACTGGAGTACTTTCCATGATGGATCTACGTATGGTGCATCATTATTCTACATACACAGGACCAATCGTGGCTCTCGGACCTGCAGCATGTCATGTAATGAAAGTGGTTGTTCCATCTCTTGCCTTTGACAATTCATTTTTATTGAATGGAATGTTGGGGCTGGCATCTCTTCATAATCAGCACCTGCTTCCACACAACGAAGAGCATAAACGGCAAACAGCTCTTTACCGGGAAAAGACATTTCGTGATTATCGCGCTGCATTAGCGACTGTTACCAAGGACTCGAAGAATTACGAAGCAGTTCTTGTAATGGCATTACTTCTTGTAGTGCTTGCCTCGGGAGACCGGGGTGATAACGATGAGCTCACGGTAGCAAGCTGGGTGGGTTTATATAGCGGACTGCGTATTATCGTTTCGATGAAATCCCCGGATGGAGGTGTAAACAAAACTACTTCTGTTGGTCCACTGTTCGTCCGAAATCTTAATGATTTACTCGCTACTCCGTTGGTCCCATCCGCCCTATTACATATGCTACATATGGATCCTGACGATCAAGATTATGAGAACTTCCAGGTATACTGCGGAACTTTGGATGCTTTGGGCAATCTTTATGCAAGTCTTCGTCAAGATGAACTTAGCGAACCTTTGTTCATTCGTATAATCTCGTGGCCATCTTTTACGCCCAACGAATTCACAGCTTTAGTAAAGAGCAAACGTCCTAGAGCACTGGTTATCTGCGCGTACTATATGTCCTTTATCAAACTCGTTTCTGGACTTTGGTGGCTCGAGGGCTTAGCTGATCGTGATATTCGTGCCATCACTAATATGCTGGGCCCCAATTGGAATCATGTGCTGGATATTCCGCTGGAAATATTACAGACACAAGACAAACGTAGGATCGTCGATATACTGCTTCGATGACTCCCCCTCTGACATGAGATGAAAACATACAACCTTATGGATCCTGAGACGATTAATGTGCAAGATTGACGAAGCATGGCGACACATGTTCGATGCTTATCGAATGGTTACTCAACCATGTTTCATATTTGATCTCGCCTCTGAAATCAAACCTGTCTTATGGAGAAGTTGATACATTATCAAACAAGTTGAGTAATCTTGGAGTATCAAAGATTTCTGTCACATCACGAAGTCAATTTCTGTATAACCGCCGAACAACTTACGCCTGGAGAAGCAAAATATCCACGGGTTGCAAAAAACTTGGGCCCCAAAACGGGATGACAACACAAATCAGACCGATATTGACACGACATCTGATTGCAAAAGACTGGTGAAGTCTTTGAAGGCATACCGATACCTACAATAAAACACATAAATTTATTAACCTATCGAATTTTTTCCTCGCTCAAAAGTTCGTCGTTCAGGGCACCCTCTCATATGGAGGTACAGCGTAGCACTGCACAAATCAAAACCGACATTGCACTGGCATAATTTGCTGCGCCTTCCTCAGATCACGTTTCAATATCCGCGCCACTTACACACATCTACAGTTTGGTGTCAGATACTTCTCTCGGCAACGGCTTGCTCCTGTCAGACTCGCATTTAAATTAACCACCTTGAACCATTTCCGCTTGAAATTGGCGCTGGGGATCAGAGATTTAGAATAGATATCCATGCAGGGGTTTAAACATCACTTAGGGCTAGGTTACATCAAGACTTCTGATATGATTGGATAACTGGGTCGGGTGAAAGTAACCGAGCTTATCAGATGACGTTGCGTCGACTCTAGGGCTGGGGGGCGTTGCTTTTTTCTGTTTTATCAGGGGTGCATATGCAAGCCGAATATATTTCGAGTTCGATTCGTGATGGAGAGCCGAAACTTGGGGTCGTACTTTCGGGACCAAAATGGAGCGGCTAAGTTGACGTGCCAGTTTCGGATGTCAATTGAATGCTAATCTTGGGATATCATGATACCATGATGGGATGGCGAACCGTCTTCCTTTAATATGTCTCTCGCAAATTCCAAAGAAAGAGGCGTTGTATGATTGTTATATAAACCGATAGCTATCGTTGTTTAAATCTCATTCCTCATTTCAATTTTGACCTTCTTTCTATTAAATCCAAACCCAAAAGTTGATTGTTTTTTTTTCATTGTCTTCTCTCAATCATACAATCAATACATAATCTTTTGTTCCACATCGCGAATAGTTAATAATAATTCACCATGCAATTCAGCAAAATCACTTTTCTCCTCGGAGCTCTCCCCTTCACCTTCGCTGCATACGGAGCCGCAGATGCCAGTTCTGCATCCAGTGCGGTGACTCCATCAAGCACCACAAGCACTTCTCCCTCTGACCCAACTCACACTATTCTCGTTGGCGCCGGCGGCCAACTTACTTTTTCCCCCAACGAAACCAAGGCTGACGTAAACACAACTCTCGAGTTCCATTTCTATGCCAAAACGCATTCGGTCGCCCAAGCAGCATTTGCATCGCCCTGTAAGGGTTCAGGTTTCTTCTCTGGTCCAATCGCTACCACTGGCACCGAAGCCAATGCCTCCGTCTTTAGCGTGCTCGTAAATGACACGAAACCGATCTGGTTTTACTGTGGATATCCTGGACATTGTGAAGGTGGAATGGTAGGAGCTGTTAATGTTAATGCGTAAGTGTTATTTCCCCTTTCCTATCTTTTCTTCTCCGTCTAGATACCAAATATAAAATACTTCACGCTAACACAACCCAGAACCGACAACAAAAAAACCCTAGCGAAATTCTCACTCGCGGCAAAAGCACTAGATAGTGATGCCACTACAAACCCAAAAGGCATTGTGGGAGGCACGCTCGCTCCATTGAAAGCAGAATCGGGTTCTGGGACAAGTAGCTCCTCGGGAGCGAGTAGTGCGACGGGTACTGCGGCGTCGGCGTCGGCTACTGGTTCGAGTGCGGCGGATGTTACGACTGTGGGATGGATCACATTTGCGGGGGCGGTAGCGGTGGCTGGTCTCTTGGGTATGTAATGGGCTTGAGATTTGATGAGAAGGAGAACGGAAGCGGCGAGAAAATTTTGCATGTGTTAGATAACGTGTTTGTTTGTTAGTCATTGCTGGATATCTGGGCTCTATGTGTTTATGAATGAGGTGTTTGGGGTGTTGATACCTGTTTGTTTTTAGGATTTCGGGAGTATGTTACAGGAATGAAATAAATGCATTGATTGCAGTTTTAATTTACTTCGATCGCGAGAGCATCTGTTGTTATTTTGAATTCAGTCTGTAAAGTGGCATGAAATCGTCAATATAGGCGAGAGAAATAGTCGGGGTTATCGATTTATCATGTCTATCAATGCAAGTGTACATGTTGACTAGATTTGGGATTCTGTTCTTCGAAAAGCTTTGGGCTTTTGGGTTGATGTGAACATCTAGCTTGACTTAACTATTTTGCATTACTACGAAAGGTTTAGCCGATCGAGTTTGCCATGTAAATTTTCGTAGAATACCCTCCAAACTTTCTTGTCTAGGCAACCAACGCAATTTTGCCGTACGTAAGCTGGTGGAATCGACGAATAGCAGAAATATGGTTACGGGGACTTTCGGCTGCTTGACCCTGATAGTTTGATCAGAATATTCTATCGTAGCAACACATAACAGAGGATGATCAAGTATATCCAGGTTTCCTGCGAGTTACCAGGTTTCCCTTGTACAGTTCATCATGTATTAAGTGCTGGACAGCATTTGATACGGCTCGTTGTAACTATCGCGCTGCCGTACGGACACCCCTTTCTGAGTACATGCCTATTTTTCTAGCCAGTTTTCTTCAAATATAATCTCCGATCTTTACACACTCTGATCTACCAAAATATAGTAGCATTGCTGATCAAGAAATCGAATTCAACTTACATTAGTAACAATGGGTAATCCAGCTGACAGTATGAAGTCGACACCCCGTATCAACGAACAATCACGACTCCCAAAGCTCCCAATTTTCAACGATGCAGACGTCGTTCGCCGGTTAGAAACCTGGAATGTTCGGTATGATTTCACACCCACAATGTTCAGGAAAACATCACGGCTTCCATGGGTCTATATGGATTTAGAAGATCGTCCAATTGAGTGCAAGAGATTATTCAATCACGACCGCATCAACAATGAAGTCAACGCTTTGAAACTTGTTTCACAGAAAACTACAATTCCCGTTCCGCGTCTTCTCGATTATGGTGTTAATCCAGACGGTACACGATATCTTGTGACGGAACTCATCGATGGCGTTAATCTTGACAAATTGCGTGCATTAGGCTGTCGGATAACAACTGGCCAAAAACATACGGAAGAAGCTTCTTGCGATACTTGTGTGTGTAGAGCATATGCTAATGCAATCAACTTCGTAGAAAATACTGTATTACCACAGCTTTCCACTATGAAATCTCACACAAGAGGTATTGTCGGCTTTGTTATGCCTCCTGCTTGGCTACCTATCGATACGCAAAAGCCATGGAAAGGAAGAAAAGGACCGTGGAAAACTCTCCCACTCGCAACTCCCGAATACGTGTTTCAGCATGGAGATCTAGCAGCCCATAATCTTCTCATAGACATGGAAACTCTCCAACCTAAAGCTTTGATTGATTGGGAATTTGCGGGCTATTACCCCCCCGGAATGGATCTGTGGTCTGGAACATTGGATTTCCGTACATATGTTCGTTCTGCCAGAGGTGATAATATGGCGGAGTTGATTAGGAAATATATTCCCGAGGACTTTTTGGAGGCTTGTAGTCAATTGGAGGATAAAGAGAATTTTGACTTGTTAGTTAGATCGGGATATTTTCCGGATCCTGAGGAGTTGAGAGCATCTACATCAACGCCGGTCATCCAGAAAAACTAAAGATGAGGTTGATATCTCACTTAGTGGTATTATTTAATCGGGGTTTGAAAGAGATGTGTTGTTGGGTGGGTGCAGCAGTTAGACAACCTCAGAGCTAATTGAGCACGCGAATACCATATGTACGCAATGTACCGGTCTGAGGTCTCCCACTTCTCTTTCTTCTAGCGTTTGTGATGAATTATCAGCGCACGACAAAATAATGAAAAGAGAACATGATTTAATCATGAGCCCAACAATTGTTGTAGAATTTTGAACTTCATTGTCAAAGGAATAAATAACTGTTTTTCATTCACCCTGAATTCAATGCAGATGTAAATAACCCAATCGAAAACCTCAAGCTTTCATCCTGCAGCAACATCGCAAAATCTCCTTTTCCCCTCCAAAGTCTCTTTTCACATCATTCCTACACCCAAGCCAATCTCTCACACCTATGAAATCCCATCACAACATCATTCGTCGAATTACTAGTTTCCCCTCCATAATGATCCAAAACCTCCGAACAATGATCCGAATGTTCCAAATCCAAACTCTTGTCGTCCAAATAATCTGCTCTCCTCGCAATCCCCAGTGCCAATTTCCTCCAGAGAAAAAAACAATGCGTCGAATGATATTTGTGCGTAAAAACGTGTTTGTTCTTTCCCGCCCATAAGTCTGCAGGGGGTATTTGCACGGTGTAGGTGTCGTCTGTATACCACTCTCTGTCTTCAAAGGGGGAATACTGAGAACTGAGATCGGAGAAGTAGCATTCACGTGGTACCCAGCCGTAGATCATGGGTTCCATGACACAATTTTTGGAGAGTGCTTCTTCGACTGAGGAGCCGCAGTCGATGTATTGAGGTCGATTAGGGTGTTTGTGAAGCCATATCCAGAAGGCACCGATGATGATTGATGCTAGAACAGCTGCACATAGGACACCCTGAAACAATCTTCTGGTATTGGAGGTGGCTTTTCTTGTTTCCGGCGGACTGGAACCTTCTTCAAGTGGGAGCTGATCATATCGCACATGTTTAGAGTCCATATTCGTTGTTTGCTCCTTCGGCTGTTCCACGACCAGAAGATGTATATTTTCAGAGATCTTCGAGGTAGAAAAAAGTACTGAGACAAAGTTGTGTGAACGGCAGAATGCGATTCTTCCGTCTTTCCCGAAATGTTCTCGGTAATCTGACGTCAATTGCTACAGAAAGATAGTGATGACCAGCAAGAATGTGAAGATAACGCAGCCAATGTTAGACTCCCAAACTTCATTGGGGGGTTCGTGTGGATATAGTCACTGATAACTATTGGCGCAGAAATCTTTCCCCTACATGATGCACAAGCGTTATGTTGGCAAACTATATCTGGGAAATGAATCCTTCGAATATGCACCTGCAACTGTACCCTAGAAAATATCCCACTTCCACGGATTAGGAAGGAGGTCAAAAGTACTTCAGATATCCTCAGGTGATATTGTGTTGAAGATCGTGTTATATATAGTTTCCAATTCCTTCTAGAGTATAGGAAATCAGGCCTTCTATAAACATTACTCTCACTTTCGTCTTTCACTCAAACAACCCCATAACATCCCGTCATCATGAAGGTCACATATGCATTAACAGCTTTGAGCTTGCTCGGCGTAGCAATTGCTCTCCCTACTCCAATTGGTATGTAATTCATTTTAATTCCATTGATAGATAACTCATGCTAACATTCATAAAAGACACAAGAGAAGCACACAGCAGCGAATCTACCTTAGAGGCAAAACGGGATGCAGCACCAGCAGAAGAAGCTACCAACTACTTCTATGCTGTTCAGAAGAAGGATGCTGTGCCAGAAGAAGCTGCAGATTTCTTCTATGTCGTTCAGAAACGAGACGCTGTGCCAGAAGAGGCATCCAACATTTTCTATGCTGTCCAGAAGAAGGACGCTACGCCAGAAGAAGCGACCAACTTTTTCTACGTCGTTCAGAAACGAGATGACATACCAGAAGAAGCTTCCGACATTTTCTACGCTGTCCAGAAGAAGGATGCTGTGCCAGAAGAAGCTGCAGATTTCTTCTATGTCGTTCAGAAACGAGACGCTGTGCCAGAAGAGGCATCCAACATTTTCTATGCTGTTCAGAAGAAGGACGCTGCGCCAGAAGAAGCGGCGACCAACTGGTTCTACGCTGTACAATAGAAGAATCTTGGCTCTGAGAAAAGAAGCCGGGGGTGTGTTTTTGCCATGGAAGGCGGGGTTTTGAGGATCATCGTTGATGAATTTATGGCTAAATGAAGAATGTAATGTAACTGAATAATCTTGATACACGCTTGTCCATTGCTAGATTATCTTGTAACCCTGTCACTGAACCAATGATTTGTCGCCTTGTGGAAAATCTTCAATGGTGAGATATCGCTTTCGTATGTCGTATATAGTTGCTTATCGTAAAACTTGAGTATACACGAGGAGCCATTAATATCAAAATATAGACCCACATTATATCCGCAAATTCCACGACTTGAGGTGTCATGCGGGGCTCGCTTCTGTCTTAACTAAAAGGGGAAGGAGCTGTCAGCCTTGGCGATCCTTCAACCCACAATATGCATGCACGATCCAAAGCCACTGAAAGCTTGTGCGTATAAATCAACGTATCTTGCTTTATTCGGAACCAATTGGTACAGAATATGAGTATGTCGATCTTTCGTGTTCTTATCAAGAGCGGCATTCTGGAAGTACTTGAAGATCAGATCATTTTAGTGCTTACGATGGGTCGGTCGGAAACCTGATTGCTAACTACGGGCTTGTCATGCTAGAACTGGAAGGTAGATAGTGATCTTCGGATCTTTCTTGAAGAAATGAAGGGGGCACAGGGGTGGGGGGTTGGGTGAGGGACTTTCGGTATTCCGTGCTTCAGATGACTGTTTGCGAAATCTTCAACGACTTTCCAATTTAACAAGACAGAGCAGCGGAACTACTTACATTCAAACTCACGTCTGAATATTTGAGTTCAATCGAGGAAAACATGGAACATTCGGATGAGTCAAGTGTACCATTTCTTACTGATTTGGAAAGTGAATACACGGCGACTGAGAAATCTCATAAATCAACACTAGACAATCCTAGAACCACGAAATGCTCGAAAACGCAGACGTGTTTCTGGATATCATGTATAGTTGTCGTTACACTGCTCACAAACACCACAACATATCTCACAACACACCAACCCCCCAGAAATCTGGACCAAGTATGTGCTAAGCACACGAGTCAAACTTGGAGTCAGTTACCAAAACTTTATCTTTGAAAAACATAACAAACGAACTGACCCTCACAGGTCCCATACTTGATAAAATTGACATTGAATACGAAACTGTTCGATTCAATGGTTCACTGTTTACCAACACCATATACAGAGAAGATGCTAGCCCGGAAGTCGATGAAGCATGGTACAATCTTGGAACAAAATGTATGTTAGCAGTCTCTATCTCAAGCGGGATAAGTTCTGATGCTGACACACATGAATAGATAAGGCAATAATCATCCCACCAGAAGATGCTCCTAAAGCCGGAATATCACTTGATCATTTCCGAGTAGATGAGAAAGATGGAGGTCCTGGTTATCCTGCTATAGTTGAGGTGATGCATCAATTGCATTGTCTGGTAAGACTTCCCATTCTAGATAAGACTTGCTTGCAAAGTTAGACATTATAAACGGAGGCTGATTATACGTAGAATCTTCTTCGACAAGGCCTCTATTACAACTCTGAGTACTACCACAATCTCGGAGAAGGGCCATTCAAGAATGAAGAATACATCTTGAAAGCACATATAAGTATGTACATTAGCACTATTGCGTGGACTCAATTGCTAACAATCACAACAGACCACTGTCTAGACACCGTCCGCCAAAGTCTAATGTGCTCAGCTGATACAGGAGCACACCCTTTCTTGTGGGCAAAGTCTGGAGACCGTGTTCACTTATATCCGGACTTCAACCGTGATCACAAATGCAAGAATTTTGATGATATAAGGCAGTTCGCAGAGAAACATCAGGCACCATGGCGTGAAGATGGACAGTTGGATGTGCAGCCAAAGGAAGGAGAAGTTGTTTTACCAGCAATTCCATGATCCGGGAACCCATACCCTGAAGAATATTAACCATTTAATTTGACATACATTAAATCATTCCATCATTTCCATCGTGCTTTCCTTCGTAGCTAATATCTCATGAAGATCATTTATCGTGCTTTTTTACCCTACCCAGAAACCTTACCCGCTTGAAGTTATCATGACTCCACCCATTCCGATATCCAAACTAGCTTGGAACCTTTAACTCCAACTTCAAAGATGCTGGCTTCATTCTCCTTCATTTCAAAGGTATCCTTCTCTTTCGCCCCTTGAACACTCCTCCCTAGCATAATGTCCGTACCCTTACGCCTTATCCAGTTCCTTGACTTCAAACCAGGCTCCTAAAATAGCCATCCCCATAAAAAACGGAAAGATGATCATCTGCGGAGCCGAATCCCCAAATTCTGGATCCATCGCCTTACTTCCCGGGTATAATATCGCAGACAACCCCGCGATCCAATACAAACTCCCCGCAATCGCAGCTGTGATCATACTATCCCGAGTCATCTTTCGCACCCACACTGACTCTGATGATTCTGGAGTCTGTTTCTTCTCTACCTTCGATTTGGACTTCGATGTTGGGATACGTGGGAAGCGCCAGGTATAGTATAAAGTAACGAGACCAAGTAGTGCGCCCAAAGACATGGTTTGTCCATTGTGGAATTTGGCATGAGGAGGCCAGCGGGGGTTGTAGATGTGGGTGTGATTCCAATCTGCGATGAAGGGTGTAACGCCTTGGCCGAAAGCAGAGAGGGTGAGAAGGACACGACCGCGCATTTTGGGGTATTTAGAGCTGCTGATTTGATGATGTTTAGTACGTGAATGAGATTTTGTTTGATGAATTGGAGGAAGTGATTGATAATTGATGATTGTATGAATCTTTACGATCAACCCAACGTGTCTGGATGACGTGGAGAACGAGATATGAAGTGATATTTAAGTTCCACTATACTTAAGGTTTGATCTAGGAGATCGACAGCTCCCGGGCCAGCAAACGCAGTCCCGCATTGCAAGAGCTTGAGGTTTCAGCTCAGCTCGCTGTTCGGAGAAAAAACCGACCGAATTCGACCACAACACAAACAATCAAGATACTTTAACGAATCGATTGCGAACAAAATAGCTTGATTCGAAAGGATGGAGTAAAATTCCAGTTCTTGTTCACTGAAATAATTACCTAGATAGATATTCAAAGATATACTTTTCAATAGAAGTTGAATGGAAATAACTGGATTATCAAAGTGTTTGGTAAAGCTGTTTTGAATAGCTCGAGGACTGTCGTGTAACAGCGGTGAGACATGGCATAACTCTCCAGCCTCAAGTTGCGGGGTGGGGTTGTCTGTCAGATATGGTGTTGTTCATCGTCACTATATTAGGAGCTATCTCAAGGAAGCGCGTTCTGCAAGCTCCATGTCAGATGGAATATGCTTGTAGATTTCGATGTGATGACAGTGGATAAGTCACGTGTCAATATGTGACCCCTATCACGTAAATACCATGCTAGAATATTTTATTCCGATATTTGAGGAGATTACCCTCAATACACTCTTGTGCAAAACACTCCAGCTCACAACATGTCTCCCGCGCCTCTAGAGCCTCTGCTCGCAGCTGGAGCACCTCCAATGAGAACAAGGAAAGGATGGTGTACATGTGGATGTTGCTCCAAAGTTTTCCTAACAATGATCCTCGCAATCGTTTTATCTATGTATCTAGCTCTTCCATCCCTACCTCCAACTCCACCGGGCCATGTTGCAGTCATCTCGCCTTTTGAGATCCATACAGTTACAGACTTCCTCGCCGCTGCCAAGTCTGGTATCATGCCTGGAAACCGAAAAACCGAACAACCTCTCATGCCCGAGGAGGTAGTGAAATATTTGTCGACCAGTTACGTTGAATGGGCGCCAGAACCCCTTAAAACTCAACTTGGCTCTGAGAGTGTATCTGCAACTCTCTCCACTGCACCGCCTTTGGCTAGAATCATGATGGCTGCATCTGGGATGAGTGATATTTTGCGTGCTGCACTAGATTCACTGAGCATTGAACGAAATATGGACATGGTTAAGAAAAGGGTAGTCACCTCCGTTTCAATATAGCTTCTCTATCTGAACATTTTGAACAATCGCAGTGGGCTAATTCTCTCTAGGTTTGGCACGGTATGTCGCCAATTCCTCCTGCCCGTTGGGAGTCCATGGGCCTCTCTAAATCAGAGAATATCGATGCGGCTCTCTCTCAAATACAGCTCATAGTAGGCGTGTTTGAATATCTTCACACTCCTCGTGTACAAGGCAGATTACGAGATATTTATAACCATATGTGGTTCGAATTTGACATTCTTCAAGATGTATTAGACGCACTGGAAGTTTCAAGTGGGAGATCTAAACCGGTTTACAATTTGCCGGCTCTGTGGCAAGAATACATCCAATCCTATCTCTTTGAAAATATGGCTTTACAATCCCGCAGCTTTATATTCTCAAACTTACTCCCTCTCTATAACGCAACTCTTTCCCAATTCTCCAATCAACCGAGATCTATTTTTGGTGAAGCTGAGATTAATCTCATTCCTCAGCATCACATTCGTGTTCTAAACAGCATACTCGATCTCTATATCGAAACCGAGTTCCACGTTGTACCGCATACTGTCGGGTTTGTATATCGACATGAACCAGAGACTGTGACTGGGTTACTGAGTGATGATGAAAGCTCGTGGAAAAGGAACAATGCAATATATGAGAGTATACAAACGGCTAGAAGAGAGGACTTCCAGATAGACTATCAACAAAAAATACAAGAGACCGCTGAGATGAGAATGGCAAATGATAAGCATTCTTCATTTGGACCAAATCAGGAAGCTCTACAACCCATATGGGACATCTTAGATAGGGCCGACGCGCACCAAATAGCACAGCCACAAATCTTGAACCCCTCGAGAGTAGAAGAAGATTGGGTAAGAGAATTGAGTAGCGGTGATAAATTTGGATATGTCATCTACAAAATGAGCAAGGGGCAAAGCGAGGAGGAATGGAAGAACTTTCTTGCTAGACTGGAATCGGGATTAGATAGTGGATGGGAAGGCATGGTAGGAGTTGAAAACGTGAGGCAAAAAGCAACTTTACATTGGATAGAGGGTCTCGATGAAAGTATATTCGATGACGATTTTGCAGATGCTAGAGAGTATGATGACTTTCCCTTACACTTCCCAATAAAGCTAACATCCTTTCAGACACTTCCAAAACATGGTCGCTTCCCAAAGTATTCCAGCTAATTTGTCCACAACAACTTTCCTCGTTATCGACTCTGCATCTTTCTTATCATTTAGTTCTAAGCCGGGCAGCAGCAACCGTGGCTTTCTCAATGTTGTCTCGGCAGACTTTGATCCTACTTCTAATCTAATAGAGGGATATAATGGTGCTTTCAAGATCATAGATCAACTGGTGTGGACGGAATTATATCCGTTGGTTGAGCACTTTCATTGTGCTAGCTTAGATGCATTTTGGACACTGGCTAGAAACCATCCCTCAGAACTGTACATTGGGGCAACGACAGAGATTCAAAGAAGGGCCTGGAATTTCTTGAATAATTAAACATATAAATAATACTAGTAGCCAAGTTTTGGAAGAATGAGATTTCAAACGAAATGAAGAATACCCATCATGAACATATCAAAACTGGTTTAATGTGGAGCTTCTCCGAGTTTGACACGCCCTTCGAAGGAGCCAAATAGCGATACCCAACGGTATTTGCCCTATACATACTACTAATTACTCCCAACTCAACACTCCTACTTACACACATCTACGAAGTAGACACATAAACCTGTGGAACCGCAGCATAAGCCGTCGCTGTACCTATAACCCGTCTGATTAGACGCCAGCGCCGTCAAAGAAAGCACAAATGCAAAAACAATGATACACTGAGAAATCGTCAACAGCCTCGTATGCAAACTCTCCTGATACAACAAATTTACCAAAGAAACCCAGCAACGCACCCGCCACACAGGCAAACCGAAACCGCGCCATGATATGCAACGTCAATCGTGTCCTGGTACCTTTTGGGAGACGCCCGTGCCATGGGACTTCTCCGAACTCTCGAGATCCGAAGACACGACACGCTGCGTGTACCAGGATATGTGCAGCCATCGGTGCCGCGTTCGGCGCACGAAATCCGCATCTGCAGGTGCGAGATCCACGCGCGTTGAACCGCGTCTGGTATATTTCTTCCATGGTAACATCGTCTCGGATGGTGGAGAGCCATGCACAGTCTGAGCGCGATCGTTTGGCGCGCTATGCGGTTGAAGGTTATGATTGCTTCATCTACGATGTAATTCACGATGACAATATGAGGAAAAGATCCACGAAATTACTGCCACCATACCATAGCACATACTAATTCGAATCACACTCCCCATATCCCCTCCACAACCCTCTCAATTTCCAATCCTTCTCCTACGTAATCGTCTCAATCAGCGGTCCATTTGAATCTCCTCGCCAACCTCAACCCAAGCGATCTTCTCTCCGCATCAATCCCAATCCGCAGCCCCGCTTGAATCTTGATAAATCTCATAATCGACTCTCGCAATTTCTTTGTCCAGAAACCGTAGCTCTATAAGATGGATGGCTCGACTGAAATCGCCGGAAACGGAAAAGACTCACTTCGTTATCGTCGGTTGCAGTGCTCCAATGGGTGTGAATTCGCGCGCTAGCTTGTGCTCTTGACTTGGGGTTGGCGGCGGAATTTAGATGTAGATGTAGATGTAGATGTGTTCACTACTCACTTCTCACCATAAAATCAAAGATCTCAAATCCCTCTCTATCTATCTACCTACCTATCTATAAGAATTCAATCTATATCTATAAAAAACAACCAAAAAAAAAAACAACAACAACAACAACATATAATCATAATACCACACACAACCCTCAAATCCCAGCTAACAAATCAATTATCATTCAATCATTCCCCGCTCACCCATCCGCCTACACATCAGCTAGCTATGCCCAACTACCCAGACAGACGACGCATCCACAAGTTACGCATACCTATATGCATATATACTACACATCGCGATTCCGTTAAGACTATCCAGCCTCATTCTCTGAAAGTGTTAGTGTTGTTGATATAAATCTTACTTATGCCCTCCTTGGATGATAGATTGAATGATAGATTGAACAAGATCGCGTGATTATTTGTGTCGGAGACAGACTAAAGAAACTTGGATGATCTTTTGATAGCATCACCTTTGTCGCTTCCCCTGGGAAGTCCAATATATGAATTTAAATCAATAGCCATGTGGCGAGCGCATACCTAGTAGAAATGTTCGAGAGTCCTCAATTGTATCATCAAGTGCATGTATTCATCAAGATAGAATGTACTTATTATACACGGATTCTGCAAACATTTTCCCTCGTCTACCCAATCATAACATTTACAACACACGTATACAAGTCACAAAACAATCACCGGATTCAAAGTCAATCAATCATGTAAATGAATATGATAATAATCTCATTTCTATCAAAAGTATTTCTCTCTTGTCATGTATCTTACGTATCTTTCCACTCTAGAATCTCTCTGAATACTATTTGCCGTGTAATCAATTCATCGACTTGCCTCTCATACCCCCCTTCCCTTCACTATCCACCATTCTCTGAATTCAATACCCATTTCCTCCCAATCAATCAATACCCATCCAATTCAGATAGAACACCAAGTAGAAACCCCAATTCAATTCAACTCCCATCCAGCCAAATCAAATGAAAATAAACTCAAGATCCATCCGTAACAACCATCCAAATCAGCTGCTGTAAAACGCGAGATCTGTTTCCATCTGCTATCTCTCCTAGAAAGAAAAAAATCATGATAAAAATATCCCCGGTCAGTCCCGTCCCGGTGCAACGGTCGACCACCCGTCGAGATCTGAGAAACCTCATCCATCCATCCATCCATCCATCCATCCATCCATCCATCCATCCATCATATTCCACATCCACCAAGCAATTCAATCGAAACCTAACCTTTCCATCTTGGAATCCCCCACACATTAACTACTACTCATCAATTCATCAAGAAAGGAAAAAAATTGTTGAGGAAAAACAACGAGTCTGAAAACTTTCATAAGACTGATTTGGAAAAATGCTAAAAAGCGCCAACGATAAAAAATGCAAATATGCTAATGCCAGGAATTTAAGAGGTTATGAAATGGGATTGTCGTTCTATCCACTGCATATACGTGATATTTAATGACTGTTGTAGCCATAATCATCAGAAGACCAATCCATTGTCATGTTCATGTTTTGATGCAATTGCTGTTGATGTTGTTGAGGTTGTTGATGATTTTGGTAGTGGTTTTGTGGTAAGTGGTTGCCAGTGCCAGCAGCGGAATTAGCAGCGGTTTGGGCATAGAATGCAATCAAATCCTCGGGATGAATTCCAGGAAATCCAAGTGGTGCTTGGGAGATGATTTCACCAAAGAGTGGAGCTGGGTTGCTATTTTGTCTTTGTTGAGGTGCAGAAAAGAGTTGGAAATCTTGAACGCCATTGGTGGTCATGCGAGTGTTATTTGGAACAAAGTCTTCAAATCCCTCATCAAAGTCTTGCATGGATTTTGGTGTGTAAAGCATGGTATTACCTTCACCGATAGGTGAGATGTGTGCCATGGATTGTGGGTGTTGTTGAGGTTGGTGTTGTTGATGCTGAGTTTGATATGTGACACCCGATGTCTCGAATGCCATGGAGTTTTGACCCATGATATCTTGGTAGATTTGATGGTTGGATGGAATCTGAATTTGGGCTGGAGCGCTGTAAAGATCAGTTTGTTCATAAGCTGCCCATTCATCGGTTGGTGGGTAGGCTTGCATAGTCTCTTGAAATTGATCTTGAGCACCAAGAACAGATGTAGAGTTGAAAGGAGAATTCGCATCAAATGGCGATTGTCCATCAGGAGAGAAGGAGTTATCCGTGATAGGAGAATATTCCATGTTCAATGATTGTGGGGGTTGAAACAAGTTCATTTCAGCAGGGTATGCTGGGCCAAAGAAGTCCATGCTATGGTTGGTGGTGTATAATGAAGTATTCTCATAGAGCATCTCATCATTAGCAATGAGTGGAGATTCAAGGTTAGAATCGCTGCCTGGAGTATGAATGATGGTATTCTGAGGAGTAGGGAGACCATTTGGAATGACAGCAGGTGCCGCAGGTCTGTTCTTTCCGTTGTTCTTCGATCTAATGTACTCCCAGCCGTGGGCTTTCTCCATGTGTTGCTTGCAATTCGACTCACGTTTTGATCGGTATGGACAAGGCTTAAAGTGACACTCGAATAGTGGAGGAGCGGCTGAATGTTTGTCATTTTGATGACGGTCCATCTCTTTCTCGGTTGGCCAACCATATTCGTGGTATTTGCATGAAGTAACGGGGCATTTCCAGGGGCGGGAATGGGTTTTCTCATGTTTGGTCAAGTCACATGGACGCTTGAATGACTTGTCACATCCTTTCTCGCGACAAAATTTAGGGGCGAGCTCAGCAGCAGAAGCATCCTTCTTACGACGTGCCATAGATCTCATCACTGACTCTTCGTCTTCAGCTTCTTCGCTCAAAGAGCGCTTGAATCTCATAGATTTGTTGTCATCATCATCCATGTCAACTGGTTGGCCCGTGGCCATGGAAATGGCCTTGCCAGTTTTCTTGTTGATGCGGACAATTTCAGCAGGTCGGCCGTTACTGGTCAGACCACCGTGAAGCTTGACCTCATCTGATCTAAAGGGCCAACTGATTAGCGAATATTCGAGCTTCACATTTGAGCAGGGAGAAACCTGGGGGACATACGGGTGAGCATCCATCTCGCTAATGGTTTCTCCTTTCTCTTCCTTCTCCTTAGCTTCCCGGACCTGTTCAGCGTACTGCTTAATCTGTTCGACGAGATCGACAAAATATCCGTTAGTATATGGGCGGTCGTTTGGTCGCGTTTGTTCGCGTTCATTAACAAGTTCGACAGTAGCTTGGATGCAGTGGATCGATTCCAGACAAAAGTCGAGGTACAAGGAGGCGCTCTTTGTGTACTTCTTCAATTGCGAGAACCAGTGAGCAAACTCCCAAGCAACATCAATATGGATTTCACTTACAGGTGCGGTAAAAATTAATGTCTTCTCCAGGTCGCGGAGAGATACGATTTCCTTCTGATGAATTCGTCTTGGACAGTCTTGGAGGAGAGGATGCAAGTCTTTGAAAGACTCCTTTGCTAGGAGTGGCTTCAAGATATGCTCTTGAATGCGAGCGGTAGTACGAGCACTAAGTCTAGGAAGGCTCTTAATGGTTGTAGATGGAGCAGCCGCCGATCTAGTTATAGTGGATGGCTTGGTAGATTTGGAGACATTGTCATCGATGATTACTTTCTTGTCTGATGATGACCCGATGGACGATCCAAGACCACTGTCTGCATATCGAGGCGTGGTGCGACGGGGACGCGTTGATCGTCTAACAGAAGATTGTTCTGATGGCATAACTCCGTCCATCAATTCGGTATTGTATGATTTGGTGGAGGGGTTCTCAACGTTGACGACACCACGAGGAACAGGATCAGACTCGTCACGGAAGCGACGACGTGAAGTAGACGTTGATTGATTGCCGGCGGCAGTGAGCTCGAAAGATTCTATGACATCGGCAGCACGACGCTTGTGTGATTCGACGGCGAAATCTTCAAGATTGGACAATGAACGTTCGAGGGCTGAGAGATTGAATGCACCGTCGACTTCGTTTGTAGGAGAAGAAGGTGAGTGGAAAGTGGCACCTTTGCGAAGGGAAGCCATAGTTGTATTAACTGTTGGCCGGCTTGACGTATTCGCAAGAAGAGTCACAGCAGTAGATGTGGTCTTTGTAGTTCTTCGGGGATGTGTGAACGACATCCTGAGTGGTCAGGTCTTGTGAACTTGCGAATTGTTCGAGGACTAGGGTGAGAATGATTAGCCCTGGGAATCTTCTACTCCATGCAAGAGATGTGAGTCACAAATGAGAATGAGTAGATCCGTTTCGGGGTGTGAGTGTGGTCTAAACGGAGATAAAATGTATGCAATAGGTGAAAGTAGCTTCGGTGTGGGAAAGAAGATGGATAGATGTATGGCTGAGATTGATCAATCCATGTGAATTGACTTTCGGACCAATAATTGCTCAATCAAGATCTTGAAGTGAGAAAGTGGATGGAGGAGGTAGTAGATCAAAGTACGGGGAAAGAATGAATCAAAGCGTACAGATAAGTAGAGATGTAGTTTGGCGGCACAAATATCACTTTCGAGGCTGAGAGCCTTTCTCGAAGTTGGTTCAATACAACCTAGCAAATAAAACTCGGAAAAGACGAGAATGACGTTCGTGTCGACTGCTCCGACTTCTATTTAGTATTGCGATATTTGTTTCCCGTGATCGGTCGTAGCTCTGATTCATGAAAGAACTTTTGATGGCAGTGCTCAGATGGAGGGAAGAGAGAAGCGCGAAAGGTTGGGATAGAAGAGGGTCAAGATTAAGGTTTAAGGTGTGGAGGTGAGGTTGTTGCCTAGAAGGTTTGAATGAATTTGACGAATGAGGTATAAGATTTATCAATTTGATATGGGATATGGGATATGGGATATTGCATTCAAACAAGCACAACCACAATGACACCGGTCGTGTGTATTGATTGGGTTGATTCGAGGTTGAACGCGTTAGTTAGATTCGCGGCCGGTGAGGAATGAAATAACGGGAACTGGTCTGTAAGATGACGATTAAACTTGGCGTATAGGTAGGGAGGTGGTATTGAGAGAGATGGAAAGAGAGATGGCAAGAGAGATGGGTTGGAGAGAGAGAGGAAAGATTGAGAAAGTTGAGTGAGTGAGTGAGTGAGTGAGAGAGTGAGATGAAAGATGATGCGAAATTTAGATTTGGAGGTTGATTAGCCCATAGATCCGCCTCGTCCGTCGATTGATTAAAGCGGCCATTGATTTCTAGGCAACAGTGAGAAAGGGCTTGTCACTTGTTAAGTTAGTTGTCGCTCAATGAGGAATGAACAAGGATGAGCTCAAATGAAGTTAGCTTGGTAATCCAATTCCAACCAGGGGTACCTTTGTATATGGAGTGGGTGTAATTGATTTGGAGGCGTGGCAATTGTAATAATTGATATCATTTTCATTTCATCCTTCACTCTTGCCCACTGCGATTCTATTTTTACATGCTTCAACGAAAGGATAAATCTCTCGCACACGTGGAAAGAATAGGTAGGTACTATGTCAGTATCGCATGGAATGAGATATGTTGCCATACATGTTACCATCACTGCTGGATACTTACTCCATCGATCAATGTTCAACAACACTATACAACACTATACAACACCACACCAGTAAACCAAGTCAATGTCCATACACACCACAACATCCAACAAACATCCATCTCATCATCCTCCCCACCAATTTTCCCCTTCCGTTCCCCTCGTACGATGCCGAAACCGAGATGAAATCCCAAACTTTACAACTTCGAACACTTGGAAACTCATCACATCCCATTTTCCTTCCGTGCAATCTCAAACATCTCCACGACGGCGTCTATGTGCTCATCTAGGAAAGCTTAATTACCGATTGATTTCCAAGCAGCACTGCGAAACGGCTTCTTCGAGATTCCGTTCCTCTTATCGCGCTTGTATATCATACATTTTGTTGAGCTCTTAATTTGATTAGTATTCCAATGTAATTAATATCTCAATTGATACCCTCGCCATCTATAGCCAAATTCAATCAATCATGAAATATCCTTAACCCCAACCCCAACCCAACTATCGAGACCCTTCCCGACCATTTAGTCGCGATCCAGATTCACAATGATCCCCCATGCGAAATCTCAACCCTCCCTTAATTCTCGCGCGTCTCTCTCCCATTCGACAAACATATGGGCGCCGTCCATTACTTCCCCGCAATGCAGACCCTGAAGTTATTAATATGGACTATGCTCTGGCCCTTCTGTCGGGTTGTGATTTCGGCGGCCAATTAATAGCCCTGCTGCCTCTGTGTGAGGTTATCTGTACATTTACACAATGCACGGAATACATCGCATAGTTAAACCAACAAGAACTTTACAGACTTTACAGTATCCAAACGCACAGCTAAAAATACATATCAATCCAGAAGCACAGAAGGATCCAATCGAGTCAAAATCCATGTGCCACACACACACACACAACAATCAGTCATTTACCCAGAGTTGGAAAGTGCTATATGAAGACACATCTTCTCAATCTCATCCTTATCGAGTCGATGCCCAGCAAATGATACCCAGGGAGTCAGTCAATCTGTAACCAAAAGTGGCAGAATCCCAAGATCAGTTACAGCCAGCTGGGTGGATGTATAAAATAAAACACCGTAAGAATCAAAATAAACGTGGGACCGGAACGCCATTATGATCACTCACAAGGGGGGGCCCCGCCAGATTGTCTCTCACATCTCACAAACCAACCCATGTTGAAGTCTCGCGCTTAAACTGTTTGGTAGGAAGGCGATGAATGCTATTTCCATCACTCAAGCCTTGGATATTTAAGCGTCAGAGATCCTTTAATTGTGAATCGATGATGCTGTCCATGTGCTCATGATCAATCGTACTCTGTGATGTGATGTACTCGATAATCCCGCAAACAAACATCTAATCAACAGCCACCCATACCTGTCCAACTTTTCATTCTCCATTCCCAAAACATGGTGTGATCAATGTAACTTTCTCCCCTTGGTACGAAGGAGACTCCACCCAAACCAAATTATCGTATGAAATTGATGTCAATTCAATGAAACGATTGTCGATCATTCCAAGCGAAAGCGAAGATAAGAAGAGGATACCTATTGATCAACTCTGGAGTCTGTCCGCACACTGTCCAGCATTGCATTCTCGAGATGATTGAAGCCCGAGCCCCGTTCCCACGGAAGAAACGGGAAATCCACCTGATCGAAGCTAAAAGAGCGTCAAGTATTCCAAAATAAGGTGCATGGCTCAAAGCTTGTCCTTTCCCTTTCCGTCACCAGGGACTGGGGGTGTTTGCAAGAATGAATCGTTTCCCCTTTCATTCTAGTAAGCTGTGCGATCCAGGTACGGAGCATGGTGTTGGGACAGCAGACGGAGTAAGACGGGGGAATTATCACCCCGAGTCCACTTTAAACTCACCGAGTAGTCCAAGAGCCTCAATTTTGCACGGTAGAAACTGGAAAGTCTTGAAAAACCGCAAATCTAAGCCACGTTCGCTGCTTCAAAGAGTCCAATGTACGTATCGAGAGCCAATGAAAGAACAAAGTCGTTGAACTTCGGTGGCAGTTTCGACGACCGGTAAATCCCATGTACTTCCGCATCTAAATCTTTTTTGTTTTTCTACTCCCGTCATGTACGGAGTAAGGTTATCATAATCATCACATTTGGCAATTCCCCGCATGGTCAATTTTTCAACGCTGCTTTGAATTGGGTGCTGCCAGAAACACCTCTTGGCCGAGTGCCTGAATTTCATATGGTATCTTCGTCGTCAGCGAACCTTGGCGACTTACGAGTATGAATACGTTTGCAAATATATTCATCGTCACATTTTCTAGGTATCAGTAATTATACGCCGTAAAGATCCTAAGATGGATTAACAACTTCCTATTTGGATGTGAGAACCTTCATGTCTGCGTCAACACACGTCGACTGTAGATCCTAGGTATCTAATGAATTGAGTTCCGTAGCGTGCTAAGTGCTAAGTGCTTAGTGCTAGGTAAGCTTCAACCTTGAGTCCTTGACATCGGAATCATCAACAGTTTATCAGGTGTTCCAATTCTGATGTGTGGATCATGCATCTCGTCTTCTTCCTCAATTCCCCAAGCGATCGAGACGGCGGGCGATGACTCCCATTTGACCACGTCTCCGCAACTTTAAAGTTTAAAACTTGATCTTCATCAAATCGGGAGGGCCCTTTGCAAGGATGAGTCAATGCTGGTCCACAAAATGCGATAGCATTGGAAAAGATAATTGGGACGAAAATTTGGACATACACTCGAGACACTTTCCATGCCGCAGGGCTGCAGAATTCCATCTTCGTCATCATAATGGGCTGCACGGCATAGCTCTGCCATCAAGATTCTCCCTTCTGCCCTTCTGCCCTTGTGAAGCCCTCGTAAAGCCCATACATAGCATGTGCCCTTGTGCATCGAGCAAAAGTACCTCGTAGTACCTCGTCGTACCTCAATAGACGTTTTCCAGCCCTACAAGGTAAAGACTCAAAATTGAGCGCTGGTTCCTTTTCTTGCTTACCCGAATCTCACCATGGTTCCTCAAAATTCCGTGTATTGGTATGGACCACCCACACGACTTACCAGTTCTGAAGCAACAATTCATGTTTCGTGCTATCTACTCCCGAAAACTTCGGTTGGTCGAGAAGAGGCTGTGTTGATTAGTTGAACCACAGTGCATGTCATCTCGTAGGACTGGCCAATCGCCTCATCGAATCTTCGACAACACAGTGCATCGCTACCATCCGTTCTTCCACACCCGCTGCAAGTTCCTCGTAAGGCTTTCCCTTCGAGTCTTCGTACAATGAATTTTTCATTTGGTGAACCGTTTCCTCCTCGCTGTTGTGTATTGTACATGTACATGTGTCTCAAAAAAACGGACAGTTCGAAATACTGTGTCGATGACAATTCATGCGCGCCAGTCATTCGGAATTTAATTGCTTGGACCGTTTGCAAGCTCATGAGCAGCGGGATTGAAAGTCCGCTTGTAAACGATCTTCATAGCACTGACATAGTAAAGAGATGTTCTCATCTTCTCCTCTTTGTCTAACGACAATTGACTTTTCCACGGAGAAAGAGTATTAAACTAATTGTGGATTTATGTGGATTTATTGTTCTGATTATTCAATTGTTTAATTGTTCAATTTTCAATTAGCCATCATTTCTCAACTCGACATCCACACTCGAGAAGAGACCTTCTCACCTTACGACCTCTAAGGGTCAAAAAGTGTGATCACGTGGCTGCACAGCATTGACCAAGGAGTTCTGCACTATTCCGTTCTTTTTGAAACATGAAACATTTAGATATCAGACTCTTGCATTGATATCCAAAGTATTGGCTGTCATCATCTCCGCCACCTGAACGTACTTGGGATCTCCTTGAGCCTCATCCACTTAAATGCCTCTGTAATCTGCCTTCGCAAACAGAACATCAGTCAAGTATGACCGTGTTTGTTTCTCCATCCGAAGTATTGGATCGAGGGAATCATACGTTTCTTTATTACCATGGAGTCATTCTCAAAGAAATCTTTGTGAGTTCGCTCTTTTTGTGACTGGAAATAACTGTTTCTTTCTTCTCTGTTATTCAAGGCTCTCTTTGCGGTCATTTCATTCTCGCTTTCAGAAGAACAAAAAGGATCAACAATCACTTTCTCAGAGTTTCTTTCTTCCTTTGTCCAATCTCATTCTACAAACAATCTTATTGTTCAAGCCTATTGTTAATAAATTCGAGAACAATCCTCCTTGCTAGACCTACATAAAGCATTGCATCCTCGCAACCTTAATCTATTTCTCTTCTTAAATCCACACACCGACTCAAACTCGAATCCCATACCTCAAACAGATTACCTCGATAAATCATCATTCATTATGTTGTTCCAGACCATCCTAATCACACTTTTCTCGGCTCTCGCCATTGCATCGCCTATTGCTTCGAACAACCTCATCATTGGACGTGCCACTCAAGTCGAAACCATAGTTGGTGAAATCTCCAGCGCCCTAACGGACTGCAGCACCGCACCTTTTCCAGCTGAGTGCGCAACTCTCGCTCAAGCAGCAAAGAGTATTGCTATAGCTTTCGGCAACGGAGAATTTACCGCCGGAGAAATGGGCGCTATGATCGCTCTTATGGCGTATGAAAGCGTGAATTTCCAATACAACATCAACCACAGCCCCGGTCGTCCAGGCCAGGGAACAAAAAACATGCAAATGGCGAAATACAATCTCCAGTACGCGCAGTCTATTCCCGCCCTCAAAGACCCTCTCGCAAAGATCACCACAGCTACCACCATCGATGGCTTGTCGGACGATAAGTTGAACGAGATCCGAGCTTTGGTTCTGGTCGACGAGTACACATGGGGAAGCACACCATGGTTTTTAAAGACATTCTGTGCTGATGCTCGAACGGCTCTCAAAACAGGCACCGTAGAAGGATGGCAAGCATATATGAAGTGCGTTGGAGTTGATCCCGCTGATCCTGCGCGATTGGCCTACTGGACTAAAGCCAAAGCCTCGATGGCATTTTAAGAGGATAGCTTTTCTGCTGCGCGGAGATGCGAGACGATTCTTTGGATTCTTCATCTATTTCTTTGTACATAATACATTTCTTTTCTCTACATGATACCACTTTTACTCTTTTGTGTTTCGGGCAGACACATCTTTAGCTAGGTAGCTAAATATTGCATAGATAGGCAAATATCACGCGTGATTTTACATGCACTTTTCTACTTTTATGTACTTTTCTTTTGAAACTTTAAGTTCTGACTTGATACCGATTATGCCCAGTTCTGTGACACATCCCCAAACTCCCTAATTTCAAATTACACATTCATCTTTTTTCTACCACACCACACCTGTTCTTGCCATTTACTAAATGGGCATCATAAATGTCATTCACTTAATATGACTTTTCAAAAAACCGACCACGTTTTCTCAATTTACTAAATCATTAATTCTAAATCATTTTTTAAGATTTAATCCTACAACCCACAACCTGCATCCTCCTCGTCCTCATCCTCATCTACAAAATCACCATTCGTTAAACTCCTACCTCACACCTTCTACCTTCTACCTCTTACCTCAACCTCCACATCACCCCTCTAATCTATACTCACATCTATCCAGCTCTTCTCACCATAAATAATCTCCGCACATCGATAGATATATCAATCTAATCCTCTCCTTACCCCCCCCCCTCACCACAAAAACCCACTTGAACACTCCAATATTTACAATACCTTTACCACCCTATCCTATCCCATTTTTCCCCCTTCGAAATTCAAGATCTTGTTTTGTTGGAAAATGGACTGTATGTAAATATGTTCTTTTATTTATTCTTCTATTTATTCTTCTACCCATTTCTCATGATATAGCAAAGACTTATATTATACCATAAAGGTAGAAAAGCTATGAAAGAGAAAAGTCCTACTCGTAAGAAGTAGGGTATACTAGTGATGAATGATTGAGGTACAAAGGCAACTACAGAGCGTATAGTTGGCCATGGCGTCGTGACACTATTCTTCTATCTATCCTCCTATCTATCCTTCTTATATCAGACATCTAAAACAGAGTGTGTATATGAAATAGGGGGAAAGATATAGAAGAAAGAAGAAGTAGAAGGGGAGAGAAGAGAAGGAATCCTTTCTTTGAAGTGAGGGGAGGGGGTGTTTTTGGGGGGGGGAGATAATATTTCGATTATATAATGGTATTTCAAAAAATGGGGAATGGAGAATGAAATGTTTGTGTAGGGTTGAGATTGAGATTGAGAATATGAGATTGAGAATATGAGATTGTGGTTGTGGTTCTAGTTGTAGTTATAACTGTGATTATGGAAATTATCAAAAGGTCAGTTGGGTTTATAGAATATATTGAATGTGTAAGAGAATGAATGATGAATGATATATAGATAGATACATCATTTTAAACAATCTACCCAGTACAATTCCTCCCCAAAATCTCAAAGAAAGAAAGAAAGAAAGAAAGAAAGAAAGAAAGAAAGAAAGAAAGAAAGAAAGAAAGAAAGAAAGAAAGTAAGTAACTCACCAAGCGAATTCTCATTACCAACATATGATCCAATCCCGTCCCCAGAGCAGAGCAGTCCTACAACGTACCTGCACGAGAAATCCCATCCCATCCCAATCCTGCACCGAAGAATCAACCCCTCTCAGATTCTCAGAGTTAAAATTCAAAAGCAAGGTTCGGGACTTGAAAATGTTACAGATCTGGCTGGTAAATCTATCTCGTTAATTCTCGATTAGGAACTGGGTTTTGTGGTATTTGTAAATTCTGTTTGGCGCTTTGCAATCTTGAGATGGATGTAGATGTTGAGTGCTATCTCCTATGAATTCTTTTCTTTTATTGGATTGAACTTTACTGGACTTTACTGAACTTTACTTTGTATTTCCACATAGATAGGTATGCAGTTCTCGCTATGGTAGGTAGTTAGTATTCCGATTCAACTTTGACCATAAGCGAGTGAGTGAGTGAGGGGTAAAGCCTCAGAAGTTAAAACTAAACTGTATCTATTCATCCAAAAACAATCCAACAAATATACCATAGTAATGATTTTGATATAACATATAATCACCATTTCTCCTAGCTTTTATATCTATATCTCCATCTCCTTAACTTGGTACCTCATCTGAAAGTTAAACTGTTCCTTGCATATCCCATCTCCCTCGCGTCATCTCCTATATCTTTAATTCGACGTGCGAGTTCTTTCTTTTTCTTGGATATCGGATGGAGAATATCAAGGTTTTAAGTTTTTGCGGTTTCTGGAGATTTACTGGTAGATATCTTATCCCTTGTGGTGCAATGGATTGGGCCTGGGATATGTATCAAGAGAATATTCTTGTTGGCATCTAGATATTACAATTAGATAATTTCCTTTCCGGATTCAAGTTAGTCTCTTCCATTTCAGTTCGTCAAGCGTGTAAATAATTCACTTCTACTTCTCGACAGTCTTGAAAATTGTAATAGTTTGAGAAATGCTGATTTAATATCAGTTGAGCTGAGTTACAATTAAGGATTTGATTCTGTAGAATATGTATTTTCTTCTTCTATTCAACGGTTGATCGTATATATATATTGGGAGTTCTGATTCGATGTTTTCAATGCGAATGCAAGTAACAAGTACCTATTGAGATACTCGAGTATTTCTTAGATTAGATGAAGAGTGTCCTGAGTGCAAGTAGGTAAATCGTACGCGGGAAATTACATTATTCTTGACAGTTGGCTTCTAGTTTTCGAGATGGGGGATTATTGGGAGTGTGGAGGTATAAGGTTGTGGCACTTTATACTGATTTTAACCCGAAACATTTTTTGAATTTTATATCTACCATTGATCCTTTAATTTGACTTGCTATATTGTATCACTGATTCATAATATGATTTATATATATAAATTGGATAGTAGACGGTTCCAGACATCCAAGCAAGGCAAGTAATGTTGTGAGTGCGGGGAAACCTCGTACCGAGAAGTTTGTCTTCCACAACACAACACAACACAAATAATAGGTACATCTACAATTCGAATTGCGCAATCCACTTTATCACCAAAAATGAGTTAGTTCTACGCGATGGAATCTTCTGAAATTATAATAGACTGCGGAAATGGTCTAGACCCAGTTCCCTCGTGGCTAAGTGGCCGTCTGTACGGCCCGCTTTGGGTGTCATTCGCGGATCGTGAGGGATGGTCATGAGGATATCCAATGTGATTTTTGGAGAAGAGTATCATCTTTTCTATATTACGGACGATATCTCAATTCAACAATTCTTCAATGGAAAGTGATTCATGAGTATAAACAAACATGTTATCGTGAGCTTCATCAACTCGGAAAAAACAAACTTTACCGCGCGCCAATGTTGGAGCCGCAAGAGCCGATCTAAATTTGACCTTAACGCGACCTTGATATTGAGGCGATGCGGTCAAAGTTCTTGTTGGTATGTAAAATTAATTTTCCATACGTCTCCGCTCTGGGGGAAATCATGTAAGTGAGTATCCCGTTCTCATCCATGTTTGCCATGTTGTGTTTCCTCGACGTTGAGTAGGTATGCACTGTGAGGTTAGATTTCTGTTTCTTTTTCTTCAAGTACTTCATAAGTGATTCTTCTGTACATTTGCTCTATATATTATTCTAAGAATCTTCGGTATGGAAAGATCCAGGGGGCGGGGAAGGGCATTACCCGCTGAAGACAGAAGTATGGTTGTCTTGAGATTTCAATTTGTCAATTAATAGATCTAATAGATTCATAGGAAAGGTTGCAGGTCAAGCTGGGACCGTAAATATTAGACCGCTGACTACAGGTGTTGGTAATTCAAGTCGTGATCATCATGGTATGATTCCTCGATTTGAAAGCAAAAACAATCATGCTAAATTATTGAACATAGAACGGATGGCAGATCAACAAACGAGACATATAGACAAAAGGAACGGAGGGGATAGATATCGAACTCACAGCAAGCAATTCTTCTCAAAAGGCCGGGTATTCAGCACAGCATTTCAAGATGAAGATGGATTATCGAATCAAAAATTTCTTATCATAAGGGAAGGCCAGGAAAGTCCAGACGATCTTGGGACCCATTGTACATGCCTCTCAGTGACGCCTTTGAGAAAAGACTTGGACTTTTCAGAATATGGGCTTCTTCATGCCAGCTCAACCCAGCCTCCATCGATAAGGGGGGTAAAATTTAAACCCCTCCAGGTCGACATTTCAAGGGATACTCGATTCGATGCGCCCATGTTCGTTAATTATATCCAAATGTTCAACGTGGATACTAATTCAGAGGTCAACGATATTGGGAAACTACGAACGGAATCTATACAAGATTTAATGGATAATTTCAAAGACTCCTTGTTTGATTCACCACAAGACAGAGATGGAAGAAGTGATAAGCACGGGAAAAGGAAAGGTAGGGGTGAAGATGATAGCTCACGCAAACCACCGCATGGACACAGAGAGCCTAGCAAACCACATTCAAAGGCACCAACAACATCCAACACACGTTCTACACCCCCAATTGCACCTGGCTCTAGCTCTGTACCCAATGGCTCGGAAGCTACAAGTAGAAGACCAAAATTACGTAACCTTGATATGCCGGAAAATACAAAACGGCAAAAGCCAAAGGGGTCGTCTCATGATTCAGATGGATTAGAGGATAATCCGAATTCCCCAACGAAGGCAAGAGAAGCAGAAAACAGAAGATTACAAGATGCTAGAAATAATCCACGAAGGCCTGATCCTCTACCAGTGGACCAACTTCGTGGTACTAAGGATCGCCACGAGAGAGACAACCCTGCAAGACGAAGAGAAGAAGGGGAAATACCAATGGGATCCTCACGTGCAGATACTGAACACGGCAGAGGGGATGAACGAACGGGTAGACCAGGGATAAGTTTGTTACCACATTCACCAACTAAGCGAAATATGAATCATCGCAAGGATGGCGACGATATCTCAAAAGCCTCTACTACTGGTGTTCCAGTTCCAATTCCGATAGGTGATTCTTCGGATAGAGGTAAGCAACGGGATAGAAATAATCCAGGAGTCCCACGGGAGAATGCATCATCACGCAGAGAAGACGCTCTTAGAAGAAACGATAACCTACGAAAAGACGATGGCCGACCTGAAAACTCTCGATCTCGTGCTCAATCCCCTGATCGAGCATTCAATGATGGAGGAAAAGATTACGGTTCAGATTGGGAAGAAAATGATCCCATTGATGGAAGACGTGGCCAGAAAGGAAGAGGTTTGCCACAGGATGCAAGAAACCTTCCACCTCCAATAGGTCGAAGAGACGATCCAGCCGATGGGACTTCTAGACGTGGTATTCCTCCTGATGAAATTCGCGGTCGTCCTGGAGATTTAAGCAATGGGCGTTCCATGCCAGGTATTGACGATAGAGGACGCCCGTTTAACAGAGCAGGACATGATCCCCGTTCAATTTATACTGAAACAAGTTTACCAGGCAGATCTCGACCCAATGGTTTACCTGGGCGTGATGGAAAAACAAATCCCGCCACTGGCGGTAGACTATCCGACAGAGCACCTGATCGCAGATCAATGTCAAATTATCCCCCGCCGTCTCGCCCAAATGGACGTGATCCTTCTCAATCTAATCCAGGTGATCGTCGACAAATGCGACCTTCAGGACATGGTGCTTCTGATCGATCAGATCCTAGATCGAATAATCGCCGTTCCATCTCCCCGCGACGTCATGCACCTCCAGCTGGTCATTCGAGACCACCGGGAGGCGGTTCAGGTGGTGCAACGTTTAGATCTCAACCACCGCCGCCTTCTCGTGGCAGAGGGCCTCCATCATCTGGCGGAAGAGGACCCCCTGGGAGAGGGCCGCCGCCATCGGGTGGTAGGGGACCATCTGGTAGAGATAGTTCTCCTAGAAGAAATTTGCCACCACTAAACGCTTCTGGTTATAGATCTCCGGGTGGCGGTCGATCACCTATGGGTGGTTCGTCGCCTATGTCGAGAAGATCTCCAGGTGGTGGATACTCTGGGGGTAGATCACCGGGCGGGGGCCGTTCTCCTATGGGTGGTCGCTCTCCTGTGGGTGGTCGTTCTCCTGTGGATGGTCGTTCTCCTGTGGGTGGTCGTTCTCCTGTGGGTGGTCGTTCTCCTGTAGGTGGCTCATCGCCAATGTCGAGGGGACCTCCCGGTGGCAGATCTCCGGGTCCATCCTCGCCGATATCAGGTGGTGGCTCACCTCGTGGGTCTCCTGGTAGTTTGTCACCGGGCAATTCGATAGCAGGTGCGTCACCAGGAATGTCGCCCGGAGGATCACCTGGTGGTTCTCCTATTGAGTCACCAGGCGGCTCATTAGGGTCTCCCAGAGGATCGCCCATGGGATCACCTCCCCAATCTCCAGGCAGCCGTCCAGATTCCCCAATGGGGTCTCCAATGGGCTCCGAAATGGGATCTCCGATAGGATCACGTAGAGATTCTATGGCAAGTGAATCTTATGTTGGTTCGCCTCAAGAACAATCTCCAATGGGAGGCTCTTCATATCGCTCGCCAATGGGCAGTGGACCTCCAAGTCCTGCAATGTCTGGAAGATCACGATCGCTGAGCCCTCCACCTCGCGGAAGACTTCAATCTGGCGGATATTCTCCAGGGCCTAGCTCTCCCAGAAGTCCTGGTCCTGGAGCTAGATCTAGACCCGGTAGTGGAGGTGTCAGAAGAAGAGGCCCAAAAGGAAAGTCTAGAGGGCCTGCCAATGGTGGACAGCCACCTTCGAGTGGAGCTAATAACGAAGAGCCATATATAGGTGATGATGATGGGTGTGGGTGTTGTGAAAATGGCTGTGCTGCTTGGTGGAAAAGTGTTGTAAACTGGTGGAATGGTGTTGGACAAGAAGAATGGATTCAGATGGAAGATCAGAAAGATAATGGGAAACAAAAATCTGAACCAGATCAAGGTCCAGAAGATGAAGATGCAAAATCAGTCACCAGCGGTGCAGATCCTGGTAGTCCTTCATCGACGAAGGATCCATTTGAAGATGGACAAAATGACGAAAGCACTGCGGTTGGTTCAGATGGGGAAAATAGTGGTGATGATCCTGATGGTGAAAGCGAGGATGAAAATAGTTCTGATCAAGAAGAACCCGATGCTGATGCTCGCTCGAACTCTGATACAGAATCCAATCAGGGAAGTGAAGATGAAATGGAGCCTGATGATTCTTCTGCTGCAGGTTCGAGACGCTCATCTACAGCAGTAGCTTCTGAGTTTGATCATCAAGATTCTGTTCGCGAACCTGCTGATGATCATCCTCAAAATCCACCAAACATTAATCATCCTGCAAACGAGAATTCTTATTCTGCGAATAACCAGTACATGGAAACTCCACAGGATTCTTACAGCTATCTTCCCAATGACGATCGCTCCTACATGGGTCAACATAATTACGCACCTCAAAATGGTTACCCAAATAATCCAAGTAATATGCCACCTCAAGAGCTAGATAGTGCACACCCAGCCACTCATTCTGCCAAATCTACTGCAACAGCCTTTCCCTCCATCCCTGAAGATGCAGCAGAACTAGCAACGGACAATAGTGAGTCGCCGAACCCACCGCCCTATGCTCCCATGCCCTCAACACCTCAACAACTCTCACGACCTCGCTCTACTCGCTTCGAACTTGCATGCGAACGTGATCCTGTAGAATTAGAAGTCCCTCCCATGCCGACTACGCGTGGGAAATCTGAACTTTTCCTTCCACCAAGTCTGACCCCCGGCGTGGCTACTGCTCCTCATACTGCTTTTTCGCAATTCTCAGCGATGGGGAGTGCTAGAACACCTTCTCCATTCCATCATCCTCCTATGCCTCAAATTCAGAGTTCTTGGGCTCCTCCACAACAACAAACAAAATTCCCACCGTATCACCCACAGGTACCCGATCAATCGCTTGCAAATACAAATATGAATATGTCAAAACAGGGTCCACAAGCGAATTTTGGTTCTTCGCAATCTCAAGCTCAAGCTCAATCCCAACCACAATTAAGATCCGGAATGAATTATGCGCCACAAGTTCCGCAAGCTCCGCCTCCTACTTATCCGGGAGCTCAGAGATACGATGCAAGAGGTAATCAGTTTCATGAGCAAGCTATGCGTCAACCTTCTCCATATCAGCAACATATGAGGGGTACGCCGCCTCCTGTAGTACCGGCGAGGAGTGAAATGAGGCCATCCAGTTTTCCGCCGCCGTTAAGTTCGACCAGAGGTGTGAGCGGGGCTGGAGTGAATCCTGGAAAGGATGGAAGAGGTGCGAGGGGAGAGAATGGCAAGCGAGGAGGTCAAGATCCGAGAGGTAAAGATTCAGTATCCGAAGGTCGAAGTCGAGGACATCAAGATCCAAGAAATAAAGCTCCACCGTCTAGAAACCAAAGAAAACATTATTCGGAAAGTGAATCAGAATCAGAATCCGGTTCGGATTCGGACTCGGAATCAGAACCAGACTCAGATTCAGATGACGAATCAGGAAGTGATGATGAACATGGATATAATCGTCAAAGAGGTATGGATGAAGAAAGTGATAGTGATGATGATAGCGATCTTGATAGTGGATTCGGAACTTATGATGATGATTTGGTTGGGAGAGAAGATGATATGCAATCAAACTATGGGGGCCCTGGACCTCAAGATCCGACTGGGATAGATCCTAGAGCGGGGATGGGAAATATGCAAGTTCATCCTCCGCCTGCTCCTGGGCCTGTAGCAGCCCCACCCCAAGCCCATATGAATGGTAGAGGGGTAGCAGAATTTAATTACGGTGTACTGAATCCAAATTATGCAGCGCCAAATCCCTACATCGGACAAAATCAGATGCAAATGCATATGCCCCCAAATCAAAACCAATATCAAAATAGACAACCTCAAATTTCCGGATCAGCACCAACACCTGCACCGCATATGCAGATGCATAATCCATATCAAAGACCAGGTGATATACCACATAACCCTCATATGCCACCGCAAGCTCTGGGACATAATCAATACAGTACACCGAATGATATGTACAACAATCCCCATGGACGTCCTGAGCAACAACATCAACATCAACAACAACCGGCGCCTCGCGCACCTCACCAACCTCAGCCGTCAGCCACCATACCAGAACAATCTCGAAGACATAAGCCTGAGACCCAAAATTCTCGGCCACATAAGGGAGTGGAAGAAAGTCAAAGAGATGTTCGCGGAGAGAGAAAATCAGAGGAGAGAAATCATCATGTCGAGAAATCTCGTGTGGAGAAACCACGCAAGAAGGAACGACCTCCTGTATCTATGAGCCCGCCAGAACCAGCACATCCTCAGCCCGATGATGAAATGAGTCCAAGTCCGTCAAGGCAGTCACCATTTGAGCAGGGAAATGAGCAAGAGCAAATGAGAGAAGAGCACGATAGTGATAGTAAAAGTGGTAGCGATGATGAATCTGAGCCGGAAGAAGACCCAGAGTCTGATTCCGGTTCTGATGGCGAAGAAAGTGATGGGGAAGCAGGAAGAGAGGAGAATGATCCGCATGAAAATGAAGACGGAGAAATGGAGAGTGATACTGAAAGTTTAGCGCCTCCATCTCCATCTCCAGTCCAGGAAAAGAGAGAGAGGAAACGACGGGAAGAGGGTGATAAGAGTAGAGGTGGGAGTGGAAAAGAAAGTGGAAAAGGAAAGGAAAGATCAAGAGGAGGGAAACAGGGTGGAAGGGGTGAAAGGGGCAGAAGAGAAAGAAACGGGAGGGGGGGAGATAGAAGAGGGAGGGGAAGAGAAGATGGTGTGGATGTTGGGGGGAAATTGAAGAAAACTTGGGATTTTTTGAAGAAGTTGGATTATCATGAGAAGTGAAAGCAAGAGATCTTGGATGGTTCATATGCTTGTGAGGTGGAATGAACTGTGTAATTGTTGATGCAATCCCTTGTACCTTATTCTAATTTTACACAAGACTACGCGTCCAATGAGAATCACACTATATATAGATCTCAAATCTACACTTCCGGGACCATCTGTTGAATTGAAAAATCTGGCCAGCCAGCTTTTTTCTATTCCAATGAGATACTTTAATCCACACTGGGATTCAAAGCCATAATAAGGCGCAATGCGAGGCTTCTAATTTGGTGCTAGGCTTATTTCAGAAGATGCTCCTTCCCATTGGGGTCAGCTATGCATGACAAGGCTCCGAGCCCCCTTATCTTGCTCAATCTATTCCTTTCATCGTTTCGTTTCTTCATCATTACATGCTATGATATATTTTTTCATCTCTAACATTTTGCGAATATTCTCAAATTTAGCAATTGCATTAATGTAAGGGTCTTGGGGAACTTTGGAATAATTATGGCGGAAGCCCTCGGCATCGCTGGCAGCGCAGTTGGCATCATATCCTTAGCTGTCCAGCTCGGAGATGGCATCTTGAAACTCAAATCATTTTGGAATGCCGTTAAAGACGCCCCGGAAGAGATCTTATACATCCTGGATGAATTGGACATAACGCATGTGCTACTCACGGAAATCGAGAACAGCCTTGGTAGCCAAACGATATCGCCTGCAGCCGCTAGATCGCTTCGGCTATGTCAAAAAGGCGTGGACATATTGAAAAATGCCATCAAGGAGCTAGAAGATGAAATGCGACCGAGAAAGAAATGGGGGGGGGGGGGAGTCAAGATGGTAATGAAGAAGGAATTGCTTGAGAAAATGGAGAAGAGACTTGGGAGAGCAAATTCATTGATGATGATGGCGCATCAGAACTATATTGCGTATTGATATTTTCTAATTCTAGACTTGAAAATTTCTGACTTGATGCCAGGAGTTTGGACAAATCAAGACACGATGAACAAGTGAGGTTGGCTACGCAGCAATTCTCAGAGATGGTGGAAATTCGAAACACTTTGCACAGCTTTAACCCAGCTGCATCTATCATCACACCCCGATAACAGACTTCTATTAATACAAAGAGTCTTTTGGTTACATCAAGTGCGAATACCGCTTCAGGTTCCAGGTCTACAAGAGCGCTATCAAAATATCAAAAGATCCTGAACGCAAAGCTGCGACTTCCTTTCTTCTCGGGTGTATGGGAGCTATGTGCATATCAAAAATCGACATCCGGGTGGAATTTCATATTGAGAACATACAATGTTGTTGATGAGTGTGCGCCTATAATGAAATTGGCCCGTGATGGAGATGTAGCTGGTATGCAGCAATTATTTCAAACACGGCAAGCAAGCCCGTTCGATGTAGACAAGAATGGGCGCAACCTTCTTCATGTAGGAAATCCTTCCCTTAGTTGTCTTCGAAACATTTCAATTGAAATAATAAGGCTGGGGCCTCTCGTAAAAAATACAACGTATGCCGGTTCTTAGTAGATCAAGACGTGGATATAAATATGGAGAATTCTTTTGGTTGGTAAGTAGAATACATCTGTAGCTCGAAATTGCACCTCAGCTGCAGACACTTACGCTTCTATTCAGGCCGGCATGGTCATGGTTCATTGGTTTTCTTTGTCCTGTTGAAGATGATTTCGCAATGATACAATGTTTAGTTCTCAAGACCGATCATGATGTCATCAATGATTTACCGGTCTTCCTAAACCATGCCTATCAAATCACTCCTAAAACATTCAAATGGCTAATTCGATCTACTGAAAATCCCATTCATGAACGTAATCACCGGGAACGGGCACTTCTAGTACTAGCAATCTCTAAATGCAGATTGAGGCACATGAAAGAACTCGTATGGTTAACCCTTGACAACATGGATTTGGAAACTTGCGTCCAAAACTTAAAGCAAGCGGAATTCTTCACATTTCTGAAAAGAATTATATACTGCTTGGGTTTCATAATCGCAAGAAACCGGGGGTCTGGCGGCAACATGAGTCTCATGGCACCATTTGGAGATTGTTTGAAAGGTCATCTAAATCTCGTACATGAACTTTTCCTTGTTGGTTCAAAATACCACAACTTAAAAGTTACATACAAAGGCTGCCGCCGTAGTTTTCTTTGCATATTATTGATGGGGTTCTTTGAAGGTATTCTGGGTGTTATGAGAGATAAAGAGATTAGAGGTTTTGAGCGACTTGAACAAATTGAACAAATTGTCATAAATCTGGCCGAAAATATGGCTCGATCAAATCATATTAGCGGGGATCGATCTAATCGAATACGGTCAGTGGGAAAAGAAGATGTTGGATGACCAATTCTGTGGTTTCGTCCCGGTTATAAGAACAAGCTCCCCTTATATGCGGAACTTCCATGTCGTGAGTTTGTTGAGTTTTACATATGGACCAATAAAAAGCGACTGGCAGTTCTGGTTTACTATTGAGCCTGAGTGTATACATGATGGCTGCATTGAAGAGTTCTGGGATATGGTCGAGAATCCGGAAAGTCAGATACCAGGTGCTTGGAATTTTGACGCCTAGTCCATGCGAATACCATTAACGAGCGGGGATCTGGACGTGCGTGGTTTAAGAGTATTGTGGATCTGCCGACGCGATATTCTTCATTTTCATATGAGGTGGATGATTTACCGACTTGGTTGGAGGAGTAGTTTTGTGGACCTTGCATCACTGCGGTTGATTTATGTTAAGCAACTTACAAGATATGGGTCACTCTTTTGCGTTAGATTCTGGGTGGGAAGACGTTCAAACTTTTGTTTTCATGGAATATTCTAACTGGGATTTGTTGCAAAGATAGAAACGATTTAAGTGTGAAGTGCGAGGTCTGATAAAATGTACTCGAGCAATGTTGGGATATGCTAGCGTACTGAAATAATCTATTCAGTATATTTCAGACGAAAAGCAATGCTTCGTACTGAACTTGAGAGATTGTGAGATCAATTACAACATTGCAAGAAAATCATAGCGTTTACTGCCCGCTGTATGGGTTTTCGGCTTTCGAGCAATCGATTCACATCGCGGCATGTATCAGAAGAGATGTGCTAGTAAGATAACCAACAAGAAAGATTTACTAGAATGCATAGACTTCGAAGTCTCTACACATAATCATAGCAAAATAAAATGAGATTCGATGCAATATTCTAAGTCCAAACACCCACCACCCATCACTTCTAATCAAAGTAACTCTACAAATAGCATCCAGTCAACCCATCTAACCATACCCCCGATATCTAAGCCCCCGGATCCAACTCTGTTCTCATATTCATACTCCCAGTCTCTCTCCCTCTCCCTCTCTCTCATAATTCTAGGTCTCACATATCTTTCTCTTCCAACCTCACTTCTATCTCTTCTTTCCCTCTCTCTATCCCTAACTCCTACACCCTCACCATACATTCTTCCCTTCCCTATCTCCCTCTCCATAATCCTCTCAACCCGATCCTCAACTCTTCCCACGCGCCCCTCAACTCTATCCTCAAACCTATTCATCCTAACCGCACTCTCATTATCCCTTCCTCTCCCCATCACCGCAACCATCTCCCGTTGTCGCTCTCCAAACTCTCTCTCCGCATCTGCCAGCCGATCAATCCTCCCCTCCGCAAACTTACCATCTATCCTGCGAAAAATAGCTTCTTCATCCGCTCTACCCCATGTATTCTGTTGCTCCGTCTCATTCCTTCGTCTCAATGTCTCGACTTCTCGATCTTGGCCGCGAGGTGGCAAGAAAGGATTCATTTCTCCATTCGTGTTAACCCAGGTTTCGCCAAATGGAGGTATATTTCCAGTACCCAAAATCTTGATACCCATCCCCTCTATTCTACCTTCTCTTCTCCCTTCTTCCCTCTCAGATTTCATCTGCAGCCCCTTGATATCACCCCTAACACCGTTCAACCCACCGCTCAGCTTTTCGATTGCCTTTTCCCTCGCTAACTCTTTCTCCCTTTCTAGCTCTTTAATTCTCGCTGCCAATATCGCCGTGTTCTCGAAATTCTCGTTTGTTTGAGTTTGAGTTTGGGCTCGAGCATGTGCGTTGCTATTACAAGCAACTGAAGAAGTGTGACTGACTGCGCTCGAGTTGGAATGGGAGACTGATGGCGGCGGAGGCGAAAACGTTGTATTCAACCCCTTTAATCTTTCGCCTAGACGTTGTATTACGTCGATATTATGGAAGAGATCTGAACAACTTGGTCTTCGTCCTCTTTCTCTTTCTCTTTCTCTTTCTCTCTCCCGCTCAAAGTCTAGTATTCTCTCGCGTTCTCTCTCCCGTTCTTGTTCTCGTACTTGAGTATAGTACATACTTTCGTGGTAAGAATTAACAGGTACGAGAGTTGGTTCGACCACATATGTAGATCGATAAGGAGGAGGCATGGCGTCGACACGAATAGTGCGTTCGGATTGGTATTTATCTTTGGGAGACTTGGCTCCGTCAAACATTTTGCCTTTGGTTTTCTTTTTGCGAATGGAGTAAAGGGCGGGCCAGCACATTGGGTGGGTTGATGAGGGTATTATGTACTGAGATTCATAGATCCGACCTGGTATATCGATGTGCGATATGAGCGCGAAGCAATAAACAATACGTGGCACAGGTATCAGATTGTAGCTAAAGATACATTTATGAACGGTCTAATCATTATACAAATATCTAACGCCAATATACATTCCAAGAGCCCTGACGTCAATACAAAGAAGAAGAAAAGGTGGAGAACAATAATGAAACTAAAATTCTTACATAAAGGTGCATATTTGCTAATGGTCCATTGCATGTTTCAATATTCAAGCCAACTTGCAGCTTTGCAGTTGAATGGTCCCTTCAGAAAATGCAAGTGAAAAACATTGTTCACCCATGGACATGGATTTGCCTTCTGTATAGAAACCTATCAATAGAATGAAAAAGAACTTTGTAGAAATAATAGAAAGTCAAAGATATCGCTTCTTGTGCCTTTGCTTCTATTGAATCTTGAATCTTGAGTCGATTCATGCACCTTCCCGATTGGCCGAAGTAGCGACTTCAAAGTCGTAGCCGGCCACCCCTGTCTCATTAGAATATCCTCAAACGTCTTCACAACTTTGCTTTGTTTGAATTCTTCTTCGAATCTTGCTGCCATGCGAACTCCTGCCGACAAGTTAGTCAAGTAACTATGAATAATTGGAAACATACTCACCAAAGTCTTCTGTGCCCCCGCTTCTATGATAACATTAATGACCACTGGTACACTTGCTTTAAATCCCTCTTCAGTAGCTTTTGCAAGCTCTTCAGGACTACGGACTAGAAATCCTTTTCCGCCACACATTTCTGCAACTTTTTGGTAATCAACTTCCCACCCTAAACTTGTACTACGCAAGCCTCCCTTGGAACCCATTTTACTGTTCTTTTGCAGTTTCAACCACTCATCTGAGCTTTCGCTATCACCTTGATACACCCCACCATTATTCATAACAAAGATAAGAATATCCATACTGTACCGCGCCATTGTTTCAACCTCTGCCAGTGAGAACCCGAAAGCAGAATCGCCTTCTAAACAGATAATCTTCTTGTGGGAATAATCTGGTCCGCTTCGCGCTTCTCGTGAGGGCAGATTATACGCACAATGAGCTGCAATGGCATATCCTAGACCGACGCCCATTGTGGCATGAGTTCCAGCGTCAAGACGCAATCGTGGATGCTCTACAGGAAATGCACTACGTGAGATATCCATGGTGTTTGCGCCTTCAGATACATAAACTACGCCACCATTTTTTGGTGGAGATAATTTGTGAATAGTTTCCCTGATGACATCAAAAGCTCGACCGTATGTCATTGGTAATTTATCAACTTTCGCAGTTTTAGCAGCGGTAGCTTCATTTTTGCTTCTACTTGCTTCCAGTTCCTTTATGTATACTGAAGATGTATCGTATTTCCAGCCCTGTAGAGAATCACTTAGTTGTTTGACCACCAAATTGATATCACCAATTATTCCAAGTTCGGCGTCACCGTTGTTCTTTCCAATTTCTTCGGCAGATATATCAACCTGAATTATCTTGACATTCGGATTGTATTTCGGTGCTTCGCCATAATGCAGTATCCAGTTGAGTCGTGCACCAAGCACGAGAACGACATCGGCGCCTTTGAGTGCTGCAGATCTAGCTGTTGCTGTGTTGGATGGATGAGAGTCAGGCAAAACTCCCTTTCCCATAGGAGTTGGTAGGAAAGGGATATTGGTCTGGTCGATCAATTGTCGAATCACAAATTCGGCTTGCGCGTATGCGGCACCTTTTCCAACAATAACAAGGGGTGCTTTTGCAGACTTCAGTATTTGTGCAACCTTTTTGATACTTTCCGCAGCTCCTGCGGCTCGTGGCGCAGCAGGCACTATCTGTGTTGGCGTGTGTTCTCCTTCTCCTTGTATAATATCTGCAGGAAAGTCAACGAAACCTGCTCCAGGCCTGCCATACCATGACGTTCTATAAGCTGCCGTGATTGAATGTGATATTGAATCGAGGTCTGATCGGATTGCGATTTTCGTATGCGGACTCAAAAGAGAGATAGCATCAAGCTCTTGAAAAGCACCTTTCGTAATCAAATGAGTTTCGCTCGAGCCTGCCAATAAAAGCATTGGAAAGGCATTGGCAGATGAGTTGATTATGCCTGCCATTGCATGGATCACACCTGGACCGCCGACAACGAGGCAAACCCCAGGCCGTCCTGTTAAGTATCCATATGCTGTGGCAGCATAGCTTGCAGCTTGTTCATTTCGGAATGCAATGAACCGTATCCCTACAGCAATTGCTTCCTCCGCGATCTGCACCACCGGTATACCAACAAGACCAAATATAACCTCCACTCCCAGGTCTTTGAGAGTGCGGGCTATTAATCGAGCACCATTAGAAGTTGTCATTTTTTGTTATGTGAAGGTATTGATTGATCTTGTCTCGATGCTCGCTCCCCTCGGGATTTAGAGCTCTTATCAATGGGTTGGTGCCGATAAGCTTGACCCTGAAACAATGCGCTCAACGGAAATGACATTCACGGTCCCTCAATACTCCTACCAAATCGTCTCAGATTTATGCCATATCGAAATATATAAAGCTTTTATGAATACTCACATTCATTCTACGAAGTTCTAATAATAAACGTCAAAACCGGAAATTACCAAACTGCCTATTCATCACCTTTATCGTCGTTGACGAACTACATCAGTCACAGCACTATTACATTCCGCACTTCAGGCTTCAAAGTTAACAGATATGGCTTCGTCCTCTTCTGCTTCTTATTCCACCGATCCTGCTCTCTACCTGTACACATCGTTGACTTCCGGTTCATCGCACATTGTTACTGCGACATCGAGGCTAGAGACCATCTTGAAAGCGAACAGAATCCCATTCAAAGCGCTTGATATTGCGACCGATGAAAAGGCACGAATGCTATGGGGTCGCAGAGCTGGTAAAGATGAATCGGGACGTGCTAGAAAGATTCCAGGTTTAGTCCAGGAAGGTTTGGTTCTTGGTGTACGTTGAAATCAAATGACGCAGAGAATATGGCTAACAATTTCAGGATCTCGTTGAGATTGAGGATTGGAACGAATACGGCGAATTGAAGCAACATATCAAGATTGTACCTGTGTCGGGACCTGGTGCAAACCCAGCCATCAAAGCAAAACCTCCAACCAATATAAAGGAGAATAACAAGCCAGCTGTGGCTCCTGCTGCTCCTCCTGCGTCGATATCCAAATCTGTTAATACGAAACCTTCTGGGGCTGCAGAAACGACTATTACATTAGCTATGCGACAAGCAACTCAAGAAGCGGCACAAAAAGCGAAAGATTTAAAGAAAAAGGCAACAGAGACACTGGTTAATGCCACCAAATCTGAACCTGAGAAAGCATCCAAACCTGCTATTGTCCCAACTGCTACCATTCCTGACGAGAGGCATACCTTCGAAACAATCACTATACTACAAAATCCTGATAACTCAACGTGGAGCGCTGCGCCATTCTCCTAATTGAATACTCCCTGTGGAGAATTCATATATAATTTGGAGTTTTTGCAATCGTCAACTTCCACAGCTTGGAGACCAGGTGATGTTGATCCATTTATTTAAGTGCACCGAGGTTCATCTGTATCATTAGGATCTGCAGAGGATATCTGAAAGATTGAGGTTGAGAAAGCGATACCCGAGGAGGATGAAGACGAGGAATCAGATTTGAACGAGGAGTAAGAATTGATTGAATTTATATTTGCTTTCTGCTAGATATTGCAATGCCATCTGTTTCATCCAATACTTCTTATGGTCTACTCTTCAAGGTCATTTATTGCACATGACTAAGCGACTCAGGATCTGGTCGGTGGCAGTAGCTTTTACCCCTATTCTTCAAGCTGCGCATTGTATTTGAGCCTCTAATGGATATTGTTATGGGGGAAAGCGATTTTTTTTTTGGTTCTTTTTTTCATCTACCTTCATGGCTTGACGGTGTTTTTATTTATTTTTGATCACATAGTTTTGCATCAAGTCCTTGAGCAGGTCACCCAGCATGCCATCTCACTTGTTGCACTGTTCGTAACATACCTAACAATCATTTTTATCGGGAACGAATTCGTTCTTTTACAGGAGTAGTATGTGGTTCTTGTAGAATAATGGAAATACCCTGTGAGCCAAATATTACACGGAGTGGCATAAGTGAACTTTAACGAGTATCTTGTTACAGCCCCCTGAGTGAGCGAGTAGGAATGATTCAATCTTTTTGCATTCTCAGATGTTTTCCGAGAAATTATTGACTTATGCCTGCAATTGTTTGTGCTGATTAGGGCTCCAGAAGGAGTTGATCTCGATCTTCTCACCATTTAGCTAGGCAGACGACGAGAGCACTTTATGAATTGTAAATTGCCATCCATTGGAACAAAGGGGTTTCTTAATTTGATTGTTATCTTTCTTACTTGGACTATCATCCTTTCTGATTATGTGCATCTTTGTTTGAGTCCGTTTTCGTACTATCAAAGGATAATTTTCCTTCTTTACAGCAGTCAGCTTCATATCTCAGCTTCCATTTCTCAAACACCGTGGCGCAGAGAATCTAAGAAAGCTACAAGATCAACGGTCTGCAATATGATTTTCGACTGGATTCACCGCGCCGTCTCGCCTTTTATTTATACGCTCCCCACCCCAAATCCATTTCAATTACAAGCCGAGGACAAACAAAAATCTAAGCGAAAGAGTCTGAAGTATGGTGTCGAGTTGGAATACGTGTTGGCATTTCATGATCTAGAACTCAATCTTACAGACCGTGAGGGGCATGGCCCTAACCATGGAATCGAGAAAAACGTTTCATTAGCCATTCGTCGCGACCCAGCATGGAGTCCAGCGGTTAACGTGCCCTTTGGAAGACTTGCCAACATTATCTACAATAGTTGGGCCATTCGCAAAAATAATGTCAAAAATGAAGACGAGAAGAAGGATGTATCTAATCTAAGGCCATATAATCTCGAACCACAAGAAATAGTCTTCAATAAACTTAACAACAAGGTTGCATGGCTTCAAGGCAATATCAAGCACAGTGGTTTGCGAAAAAGGAAGGATAAAACTGAAGGGTCCTACGATCAATGGATTATTTCGACAGATTTAACGGTTGTCGGCCAAGGTTCCGCAAATCTGTATAAATGGATACCACGTATCTCTGGCAGAACTTCTAAACGATGGGATTCTTATGGCATAGAAGTGGTATCTCGAGTCCTCGAGAGTAACAACCATAGAGATACCGCCGAGCTTGAAGAAATTGTCAAAGCGCTCAAAGGTACCGGAGATGAACTATATGAAGGCTTCGTAACAAATCAATGTGCCCTACATGTGCATGTCGAGGCCCCCGACCTTGCTACACTGAAAGAGTTGGCTTGTATTTTGCTGATATACGAAGAGGAGATCTCAAGGCTACACCCTAGATGTCGTCGTCCGGGTCATCCTGTTGCAAGGGGCAACCTCATCAGTAATCGCTTGCACACGCTCCTGGGCGCGGATTATGTCACATATGAGGAAACAATCCATGAAATTTGGGATCAGCGAGCGGAGACATCTCTCTATAGAAAACAAAGAACAATTCAACAGATTCGCGATGAAGTTGATCAACTGAGGGATGAGAAGGAACTTGCTGGTTACATGTGTTTTCCTCTGACATACGCAAATAGACTGGTAAATTTCCTATCATTGAGATCCTCATCACGGGCTCATACCATTGAGTTCCGACAAGCTCGCGGTTCCCTCAATGTAAAGGATGTCACTCAATGGGTCGATTTCTGCTTGAGCTTGGTGCAGCTTGCAGAATATTATGTTTCCAATCCAGACGACAGAATCCAAGAATGGCCTGGTGAGAATGATGATGCCATAGAAGAGGTTGATATATTCAGATTAATGGATGTTATGAAGCTGGATGAAAGGAGTGTAAACTTTTGGAGAGGCAAAGTTGCTAAGTATATGGGATTTAGAGAGGAGGACAACCGAAGTGACACTGAAAAGCTTCCCGGGGAAAAGAAGAAGATAACCCCCAAGCCCCCTGGACCACCTAAACCGCCTGGAGAACCACCTAAACCGCCTGGAGGACCACCTAAGCTACCTGGAGGCTCGCCATCAGGTGGAATGCCTCCGCCTCTGCCACCCCCAGGTGGCCAAACAGGTGTGGTGACATATCCTACTTTACCGGGACTATCGCCCGTACAGAAGCCAACCCCATTGATAGTACCTCCACTTTTCTCTCCGACTCGGAAAATAAAGAAACTCCCAAGACGAAAACCCGCAAGGCCTAAAAAACCGAGAGTAGTGTCGGAAGCTAGAGCTAGGTTGATGAAAAGACTGGAAGAGGAAGCCGGAAATAATTCTTATTTTGATGTAACCGCCGGTGGAGGATCCGGTATCCCCCCAGCCAAAAGCGCTATGGAATCACTTGCTGCATACTTCAACATGACTACCAGCGATCTAGCCACGGCACTTCCAATATATCCTCGACAACCAAAACCTCAAAAACCTCCACCATCGAAGCCTCCGCCAAAAATTCCCCCAAAAGTCCAGCCAGAGCCAAGTTCACAACCCAATCAACCATCACAGAAACCGAAGCCTCGAGTGACTCCCTCTAAGCCAACGCAGGAAAATGTAGGAGCTGGTGGTAAAGTGCAGTACCCTAAAATTCCGTCAGACGGAACAGACATAGATAATCCAGATTACGTGCCTGATGATGACAAACCTGTATCCCCCAAACCTTGGGTAGACCCAGGCTATGATTCAGATTACGATATTATACATGGCGTTGGTATATATAGTGATCTTCCATCAGATAAGCCTTGGCATATAGATACAGGTGTCTATGTACCCAAACAAGATACACCAACTCCTTTCAAAACAAGGCCAAAAATCCCAAAACCGAAAATCGAAACGCAAGTAGAACAACAAGAAGAAGTGCCGCCACATGACACCGACGACGATCACGAAGGTGTGATCACAGGAACATCTAAACCTTCAAAGCCTAAACCTCCAAAGCCTAAACCTTCAAAACCTAAACCCATCGAGGTCAAGAACCCACCACCTGGAGCTGTACCCAAACTTCCTCCCAAGGTGGGCGGTCTTAGCTGGTTTAGCGGCCTTTCCACTTCAAATACTAGAAATGTAGGACCCAAAGTCACAACTGTAAGTAGCCTAGAACCTTCCTTTGAGTAATTTTCTTTTACTGACAGATATGAGGCCCCGATAAATCGTACAACCCATCATCAAGTGCCAGCTACACCGGTGAAACCGCAAGTCACTGGAGCAACAACGGAAGTTATTTATCCTTCACTCCCTGATATAGACAGGAAGCTTCCTGGGAAAAGACCCGCAGAAGAGACCTTAAATAAGAAAGATCATAAGAAAATCAAACCCACTCCTAAGCCTGTGCCTGTGATAGGACCTGTCCCTTCTTCGAGCAAAAGACCACCAACAGGCAGACCCTTACCAAGCGAAAGAGATCCAAAAAGACCGAAGACATCTCCTCCATCCACTGCCTATAAGCCTACAGGATCGCTGACAGTCGATGGGGTCCTTGAGCTTCTCGAAAGTCTCCAATTTTTGGAAGATGAATCGATCCGTAGAGAAGCAATGGAGCAATTGCACAACACTGATGACGCGAATAAAGCAATTATAGCCAAGGCCGTCTCCATCTTTTCAGATAGCCATCAATCGTGGCTTCCAGATCACGCAAAGACACACAACGCAGAAGATGCTGCGGTGGAAGAAGCTAAAAGGTTACAGATGATAGCCGACGAGCGCTATGCAATTAGCATACACCAGGATGAAGAATACGGGTTATTAGACGAACATGGAAAGACGTTTGTCGGTGCCGAGCTCCGAGTCGATCACCCTAAGCCCACAAAAATTGGGCTAGAGGAGCTTGAACGTATCAACGCTGGCACGATCCATGAGAGGTTGAGGATAAAGAATTTTTCTAGGAATGAATGGGAGAAACTCTTCACGACAGCAATAGTTTCTGGCAAGTTTGGTACATGTGGCGCTGCAGCTGTGGTATTGTCTCTTCACAACCAGTATCCTAACGAGCCATGGACGCGAGGCTTAACCAATGAGAGCTTTTTAAGGGACTGGGTTGAAACGATTCCAAAAGTAGGGGACCAACAAAGAATGAACTATTATGACGAAGATCAGCTCAATAACGCTCTCATGAGAATGACAAACGGGCAGCTCCAACTTGCCGTGACTCATCAAGGTCTGGAGAACTATTTCATGTATGGTCCCCCGGAATCTGCCCTTCTCACCTTACATGGTGAGCCGGCTAGATACCTGTATGTACATTTAACTCATATGGCATTTAAAGAAGGGCCCGGGGGCGCACCATACCAGCATTTTGAAGGAATGAAGAGAAAACGAGGATACAAGGAGCATAAGTAAAAAGGCAGGACTCAAGATATGACTATTTGATTTAAGCAATCTTTGCGTTTTATCTCTTTTGGGGAATGCATATTTCGATTGTAATTATTTTTATACTCTGGAATTTGAGAAATTGATGTGCCGTGTTTCTTTACTCAGAATACAGGATTATTCCGAGGTTATATGACATTGATAGTGAAGTAAACAATGACAAGAGAGACCGTCAGTACCTGATTAATAGACAACAAACTTGTCAATATGAAGATACCTGCTAAGGGTTTCTTCAAATCTCTGAACTAGTACCCAAGGGATCCATAAAATGCGATGCGCAGAATCCATGATCATGAGATGGTGATTCTTCACAACCCTCAAAGCATTTAACCTCATATATGAGCCCTGTCTGTGACAACAATTAACAGATAGCCACTTAGTTTTTGATTTTTATCTTATTGCACTTGCCATCTGATCATCCTCATGGCTCCTTAAGGTGGTTGGCAGAATTTATCAGCATAGCCGACAAATATACCACCTACGTCCTGAACTGTGAACATCGGTTTCAAATCTACCCTTAAGAAACCTCTTTTAAACTCAAACGAAATCTGCAACGACATTCAGGACTTTTACCGTCAAACTCATTCAAATTCTCCACAGCTCAATTCAATTTTAGCATTTAGGACGCCAAAACTTAAGTTGATCTTCAAAACACATTTGCTAGCATATATTTTAGCTCTCTCCAAAACACAACTCAAAGCTGTACTCAAAACTGTAACCAACGAATCAAGACCTCCATTCTACAACCCACCTTCTTTGTATTTGCTCCAGAGCTTAGAAACCATACATGTACATATCAGAAACTCTCACAAACCATTCAACATACTAAACTATGAACAAGAATGTTAGACATCAAAACAAAACATGAATCTTGCCATTGTACTACTGTTCTCCTATTTATTCAGCAGAGTACAAAGCAAAGATTGACCTATCCTAGCAATTTAAAGTCCAGGATAATCAGTTGTACATCAATTTAATTCAATCTTGCTAGCAAGTTTTTCTAACAGTAAAAATACTAGATGAGCACTGTTGATATCAAGTCTATGTCCACATTCACATAAATTCCCGACATTCACAAAGCAGAGATTTAAATCCATCCATATCCACAAGATAGAAAGAAATTTATTATATGACAGCAAAGTTTACATTCTATAAAGTCAATTGAAGTATAAAGTATTGAACTCTCCTTAGATAATTTCTAACCAACCATATTGTAGGTATCTTAAATACTTGCTTGAATAATCTGTGATTGCATGTCGCTTATGGGATATACATATAGTCCAACCCAACCCAACCTAACCCAAATCACCAAAATCAAGATGCATCCACCCTACATCTCCACACAATCAACAATCAAGAGATCTTCTTACCACCACCAGAAACATCAGAATAAAGATCCAGCGATTCATCCACCCACTCAGTCTAAGCATTCTTCTCCCACCCCACCTCCCCTTTCTCTCTCTTCTGTTTCTCCCTCCCTTCCTCTCTTTTCCTCTCCCGATCCCTCCACTCCTTCTCATCCTGCTCTTCCAAATACTCCCCCAAATCCCTCAAAACCAGCTCACCACTCCACGCAATATTCTCAACCAACTGACAATCTTCATGTCTCTCCGCCAATCTAAACCCATCCAATAACCTCCGAATGCAGTATTCACTCCCCCGTTTCAACTTCTCCCTTCTCGCCAAAAACTCCCTCTTCTGTTCCTCAAATTCTCGTTGCTGTTCCTCACATTCCTTAACACCGACAAGATTCTCAAGAAACTCACACAATTCCTCTTCCTTCTCTCTCTTCCATCGAATTTCTTGAATCCTCGTCATCAAAATCTCAACCTGTTGTTCGAATTCATGTGTTTTCTTCCTCTGTGCTTCTACTTTATCGACATATTTTCTTTTTTCCTCCCTATACGTCACTCTACTATTATGCACCACCCTCATCTCCTCTTTCTGCGCCACCGCCATCGTAAATTCATGTCTCCCCGGCCATTCTCCATCAAGGAGTGTTTCCCGAACTGTAGGTTCAACAAATCGCTTCACATAATAGGGGGAGATATTACACAGCGTAGGTGAAAGATATCGATGCGGCCTCGATGTCCATTCTTTATGAGTTGGGTTGCGAAGCACAGCGAGATGTCCGGTGTATGTTTCAGGCTGCGGTGGTGGAATTGTCGGCTCAATAGCAAGACATTTGCATCGTCCGATTTCCGTCTCCTCAAGTATCTTGGTTTTTTGAATGGCGGTGGCCCCAATGGAACTGCGGTGGTGACATACGATGTGGTTGTTTTGACAATTGCATTGGCGTGTTAGCTGCTTAACGTGCTTCATGTATTTATCGCTGATTGCCGAGTTGGCCATACTGAAGTCGTGACTGTTGTTGGTTCGAAAAATGACTAATCGGTTTCTGGAGATTGTAGATTATTGGATGCAGCCAAATGGTCAAAGAGTTCAATTAACATCGAGCAAATTATGAGAAAGTAAAAAGTTATTCTAACGTGTCGAGTATGTTATGATATATGATGCTGAACAGACCGTAATGTACGTTGAGAACAGAAGAATCATGAGGTTATGAAGCTGCCGTATTGAGCAGGTTTCCCCACGAACCGTAAACAAGTAGCCTAGGTGTAAAAAAACGGTTCATACAGGAACATAGGACATATATATGGGAAACGATATGGCATCATACTGGGAGTTCCACTGACTAACAAGCTAGTTGATGTACTAACATTCATCAAAAGAGTACATTTTTCAGACAAGATTCATATAGCAACGAAAATATGGCATTGTACAGTGAGTCGCACTAGTTCTTGTACTCGCATTTTCAAACACAAAATCATTTTTCTAGACCGGGCTGACATATGGACTTATCATTTGTTCAGAATCATATACCAAAGCTACGCTTCGAAATTGGCCCTTGGTGACTATAGAACCAAGAATCAAAAAGATGACTCCATGCTGAGTTGAACTGTCAACAAGAAGTAGCAACACGAACATGAACACAAAAACAGTTCTTTGAATTGATCAAACAACGCATGCAGACAAATGGGTTGCAAATCGCGCTGTCCTTAAAGTAAAGTCTAAATGCATAATGTGGTATATTCGACCAGAAAAATGTTTGAGATTGTTATCTGACCATTGATTGAACCAAGAAAATGAAAATACCTAACTAGAGTTTCACAGAAACAATCACTAAACAATAATAGCAGAAATACGTGTGAGATAGATATCCATTCATCTATCCATTTATAACATTGAGTTCACCCAAATTCCTGTCATAGTGAAGCTGGTGGACTTTATTAAACCTCAGAGCTCAAAGGATTGAGCTAATGCGCTGGGGTAGGTCATATCTCCATGAAATGACAATAGTGGTGTGGTCCAAGAAAGCTTAGGTCTTGTGTCATAAAAACCTAAAGTTATGACTGGAACATGCTTAAAAGGTATTGAGGGTTTAGTTAAGGCTGAGTTATATCAAGGATCACGAAGCTTGCAAACAGCTAGACATGGAGTTAATTGGGATGGTTCGGTGTAACACATTGGGATGGGAAACTCACCCGAGATAATCCTCTTTGATACTACCAATAGCAAACATAGCTCCGACTTCAGGTCTTGTACCAATAATCTTTACTCGGACATGAGTACCTGGCTCAATGACAGAGTCTTCATTGTTTGTAAATTGAGGTGGTGTTGCATTTGCATCGAATTTGATGTCACGAGGAATCAGCTATATTGAATTAGTATGGATCGCATACCAACAACAATGAACAAAACTTACATGTGCAGATACAAAGAGGGGCAAAGGACCGGCATCCGCAAAAAACCCGACAGCATTGACTGAGGTTACAATAGCATCGACCTACATATGTTCATGAGAAATGCACGTTAAACGAATTCACAAAATCGAGTTCTTACAGTCTCGCCCTTGAAGGGTCTCCACACTACAGCACGGTATCCAACAGTGAACTCAGCCAGTCCACTTCCTGGAAGGATTCTTCCTTCAGAAATGTTGAAGGTATCCATGATTGTGATGATGTAGTAAAGACCGGTACACGTTCCTTCAACATCTTTCAATAGCTTGCCAGTCACCAACTCATGCATGTTGCGACCAAAGTACGATGGGTGCAGGGTGACCTGACGCTCAAGATTGTAGAGGAAAAACATTTTTAATGGTGAGGAGCGGAAGAGATAGCGAAGTGGATGGAATTTCAGGATTGTAGAATCAATGCCCCTTCTGGTGAGTTAATGTAACTTTGGAATTGCGCTGCAACACAACAATCCTCCTTCTTGGTAGAAACTTGTAATGTCGTAGAGAAGTTGAAATTATTGAAAGGAGGCGGAATTCAAGTATATTTGACAATGCGGATAATTCGAGAGCCTTCCCTCTTCAACTCTTAATATTCAGCCTGCTCTAAACCCCGAGTTATTCACCCAATCCCATATAAATGTTGAATCTCTTTCGGATCGCAACGTCCGCCTAAAGGTTGTTCGTAACTTGATGAATGTGCCGAATCAATCTTACTGTTCTGTGAACTGTCAGTCTTCTTTGTTTTCGAGTCAAAGTTCATCAAAGCCGGAAATAGTCAACTTTGAACGTACATTGTTTGAAAATGAATGAAATTGCAAAGACGTGACACTTTGGCAGATCCCTGAAAGATATTACAGAGAATGCGCAAAGGTTTGTCGATGCTGTGGGTTGAAATTGTTATTATTGGGAAAAAATCTATAACTATGGAAGACAAGAAGAGACGAGAAAGCGAGAGAGAGCTCAATTGTCCCGACGTTGAAGGTTACGCGATCTAAAGAGTTTCGAGACTTTTCCCGCGACGTTAAGGATGAAATATGCGCTGACCAGTGCGTATATTAAGGTATAAGGTACTAGCTGCATGCATTATCTAGCATGGTGAATATAATTGATGATTGATGATTGATTACTAATACCAATTACGAAAATGACATGCCACTCTGCTCTGCCACTCTCCCATTCACTCTACGAGGATTCCGAGGTTCACAATTCAACACATGCTTTCACTTTGATATCCGTCCATTCCAACCACCCTTTCCAGTGCGACCAGCTAAAATAGGCAAAACTGGCAAAACTGGCAAAACTGGCTGAATTGATGTATTGATTACCTTAAATTCTCTATCATATCCTATCCACTCCCCCCTCTATCCTCTATCTTGTACTCATTCCGAGAATTCCTTATTTTCGATGAGTTAATGACTGCGCCTCAACCTTGAACCATCAAATCAAGCTCTAAATCATATTCGCTTCTTCATTCCCGAATATCGCAGACATACGCAAAGATTTTGATCCTGTCGCATCAGATCATTTCTTCAAAATGTCTCTCAACCTGGAGAAACAGCTTACCTTTGTAAGTCCGGGCGAACATTACGACTCTACTAGACATGGGCTAATGATATGTTTAGTATGGGGCCTACCATCACAATCCTACAAATGTTTTCATTCACATGATGTGTGTGCCATTGATTCTGGCCACCAGTCTGTTCCTTGTATGGCCCCAAAGTTTTCGCGATCTTGAGAACAAGGACGACAGACATACTGACAACATATAACAGTGCTCCAACAGTCCCACATTAATACCTCTGCCATCGTGGCTTACCATTCCGAATTTACCTTTGAACTTTAGCACAATTGGATCAATATGCTATAGCGGTTTTTACATCCTTCTCGAACCGGTCGCAGGCAGTATTCTTCTCCCATTCATCATCGGATGGACCGCATTCTCAAATCATATCCTTGCTACGTCTTCAAATGCTACTTTGGCAAATCAAATTGCTGGTGCCGTATTCTTTGTCTCGTGGATTATGCAATTTGTCGGCCATGGTGCTTTCGAAAAGCGTGCCCCCGCATTACTCGAAAACCTCGTACAAGCTTTAGTCCTCGCTCCATTCTTCGTATTTATGGAGTTGCTATTCATATTTGGATACAGACCGGAACTGCAAAAAAGGATCGATGTTGCAGTTGAAAAAGAGGTCGCCAAATTCAAAGCCGAGCAGTCAAACGGTACCATTAAGAACGGCAAAGCCAATTGAAATCCCGATATAGGACCGAGATATATCACACAAACAAGCAACGCAGGGGAAACCCATGGAGGGCAAGGGAAAGAAAGGTGGACATGAGCGCAATGGTAGACGCGGCAGTCTATTCAGAAGGTCAACGGAGCTCGCCTTAGATTGGTAGCAAAGTTCAGAATGGCTTTCGTAGGAAGTGAAGTCCTTCCGGAAGGATAAGCCCATTTGGTGGAGTTATTTTGAGGTGCGAGGCGTTTCCTAATTTCTTGGTTCAATTGTACATTTGCAAGCGAGTTTTTGATATGCAGAGAATACCATGTTTAGTCCCTCGAATTCTACTCGTCCACTTTCATCTGCATGCTTAGGTAAATCAATGTGTCTGGATTTATACTACATACATACATCATGACCAAAGTCAGCAAGACCGACTGCCTGACCTGACTAAATGTTACGGTACAAGGGTAAGAGAATCACGCAACGTGCAACCACATCTACACCATGTAATGTCATAGTGCGCTCTTTGGCGACAAATATACTGCTTACAATTTCATTCAAATAAACCCGTTCTCCTATATCATTTCACAACCTATAATTTTCATTCATTTCAAACTTTATACATCGCCATTTCATATAGCCAATTCTGTTTCGTACTGCAAACATTTTTTAATTAAATTTTTATAAGTTTTTGTTTGTCTAGATTCTCCTTTCCGCCATTTACTTCTGAAATGCATGAATGAAACAAATGAAAGAATCTTACAAAGGAAAGTGAGACTGTGATCCTTTTAGGAAAAGCCAACAAAAGAAAGTAACAAATGAAACTAAGAGTATAATTGTTTTCTGCATCTTCTCTTACGGTTGCTCTATCTTGTACAAAGGAAAATCATCTTCTGCGTCTTCTCTCCTGTGGTTGTGGTTCTGGTTTTGCTTGTGGCTGTGTCCAACTCTCTAATGCACCATCAATTTCGTGTTCAAGATTTGACATCTGTCTTCTCAAGTTGTATTCTCCATCTTGTGTCTTTGGTCTAGTAACGCTCGATGGTCTAGAGAGGCTTGATGGCCAATGACTGTTGGTGGGTGACACTGGTGACACCTCACCACTCTTCAATGGGGATGTCATGACAGACACATCTGAGTCCTTGGTCTTGAGCGCAATTACCTTGCTAGCTCCTTGTTGTCCAGTAGATGGTTTCAATCTCACTGGCGTAGCCCGAGGCTTTCTTGTCAATGGAGTTGGAGGGAGTGGTTTATTTGGTGCGGGTGCAGTGCCTCGATATGTTCGTACTTGAGAGTTCCATCGACCAATATCTAGGTTAGCGTCCTCATATCTGGGGACAGCTGGAGTGGGTAAAGATGCAGGCTGTGTTCCTGGGATTCCGATGAACTGGGAAATGACCTCTGGTTCAATCCTGTTGAGCCGGTCAGGTTGAGATTTCCATCCATAGGAATTGGCTGCCTTGGTCGCGGCGTGTCGTGCTTCAGCTGTGCCGACTGTCATGCGCTTCAATTCCGCGGTAGGGACTGAAAAGCTTTCAGCATCGGGTATCTTGGCATTCCAGAATGATTGTCCGAATTCGCAGCAGAATCCATCATTTGCCGATCGGTCGATAGGATGATGATCTTCTTTAACGCATTTGCCGCATCTGAACTTAGTACGCCTGTCTTCCATGCGCCTATAGGATCGGCGTTGTCGTTCACGCTCATCATCTTGCTCTTGAGCAATTTGAGCGCGAATGATTTCGGCGCCTCGTGCTTGTTGCTGGGCAATCAAGCGGCTCTGTCGGGTAGTGCAGTCTGGACACAAACCGGCAATATTGTCGACGAGTTCAAGTCCTGCACACTGGAATTCGAGATCTGCTTCATTGTCAGAGTCACTCTCAGCTTGTTCTGCGCCAGCGCAGAGGAAAGATTTCCAGCTGCTGCGACGAGATGATTTGGATGCGTTAGATGAAGTAGAGCCGCTGCGTTGCTTATTCTTGGACGTCTCTCCGCCTGTGGGGACTTGGATGGGGATTACCTGGGTCTTTCTCAAAACGTGTCCGCACTCTCCATACACTACCTGCACCTCGACTGGCTTGAAAGATGTTCTTGAAGACATATTGGAAGTGGATCTGGGTTTGTGTGGTGTTGTTTGTTTAACTAAAGTATAAAGGTATATAAGTTGTATGTATGACTTTGTAATCCAAAGACTGGACTTGATGTTTCTGAGAGGATGAGCTGCAGGACACACAATGGCCATTGTCCGAATTAAGTAGATTCTTCTGGCCATTGTTCGAACTTGAGGGTATTGACAAAGATCTTGGAATTTCTTTATGATTGATTGACTTCTTTGTCCTCAAATATGCAATTTACAAAGAGCTGAAACAAAAGAGTCACACTCTTCGTTTCTCTAAGAAATGTATCAAAATAGATCAAGCCTTCAAATTAGTCTCACCGTCGAAATGACGCGGAATTTCCCATTGGAGCGCCTAAATATCTCAAAATTTCCTGGAACAACGTGAGAACCATCTCAGAACATGTCACAACACAAAGAGAAACTCTTATGAGATCATCTCAGCCCTATTTTCCACTCTATTCCAGAACATAAGCGCCACATACGCAAATTATTTTCCGTCCTTGGCTGAAACGCGCCCGTCTCGAAAATAATTTGCTTTCTTTGAGCAAACACTCGTATATGATTTCGCGTGATTTTTCCCGAGATACAACTCTCTTTTCCTCTTCAGCGTTGGGATTACCTCTCAGCGCTCACTACCCAGAAGACTTGCTTTCTATGGGTAGTTATCACTGGCATCATTAATTTAGAGTTGTTCACAACCATGTGCCGACACCCTCATTCTAGAGGAGAAAGCACAGTTGATTACAACTCGACGTCAACAACATACCAAAAACATTACACTCGAATCCCTGGATACAGAAAGCGAAGGACGAAGTCCACTCTAATCCTGTTCGATGCTCTTAGAGTATATTATGAGGTCATATGCATCGACTTCATTGTTGATGTCGTTAAAGATATTCTGAACAATGCTATGGAGTTGCAGAACAATCCGTTTCTGGGAGTATAAGATTTGAGAACTTCCTGGATAGGATATTATTTTACCATTCTCATCAATATCTTCAAATCATCTACATACTCTTCAACCCATACAAGAAGTCTGTTTTTGAATCGAAGCTATCGACGAACCTACCCAACAACAACAAAAACAACAACCCCAATAAACGAAATACAAAAGCAATCATGCCTGCCACTATCAGGAAGATTGTGTACGCCTGCAGTCACGAACTGCCCAACCTGAGCTTCCAAGCTCCCCAAAAGCCCTCCGTCATCAAAAGAATTAAGCGAGCTCTAACCTTCACTGAGACAATTCGCACACCCTCATTAGAGTTGTGTCCGTATTGTAAACGGAAGAAGGAAGAGAAGATGCAACGGGAGGCTGAGTTGCAACACAGACCACAGGCACCTACGCGGCCGGAAACGAGCCCCCGATACGGCAACCCCCTACCACCTGCACCGAGATCCCAAACGACTACTATTCAAGCAAGACGGCGCAACACCGTAGCTGCGCGACGACCAATATCACCGGTCTCGCCAGTCTCACAAGTGTCGCCCGTCTCGGAGATGGGGTTCGGATCGGACGCAGACCCGGACACCGTTCTCCCCCCTCGGAATCCCTACCGGGATACCAACATGGAACTTCTTAGAGAAGATTTCCATGCACGGGATATGGAAGAACGGCTCAGGGATAGTCTTGCGCGAGAGTCGCCTGCCGATCGACGGGCTCGGTTGTTCCGGGAGGAAAAAGTCCGCAAGGAGTGGACAGCGAGAAGTGCAGCAAGAGAGTACAACGAGTTCATCCAGGACCAAGCGCTACCGGCTGCTGCTCCCTCGGACCTCAAAGAGCTCTTCATCCAAGCTCGCACTCCCCGCACTTCCATAGCACCTCAAACGGAATCTCAATCTCCGAGACTAGATCTACGCGCCAGAGCAGCGAAGATCAAAGAGGAGAAGGCAACCAAGGAGCAGAGGATAAAAGCTCGTTGTCAACTCGTGCGGAAGGAGTAAGTCATCCCCCGGTTTCTTTTGTCATCTTTAGCGTTATGATTCTTTATGAGCTCAAGACTAATTGATGGCTTTTTTTCTTTCTTTTGTATAGAGAGATAGCGATAGCGATCTTTTTTTTACGAGGATGGCAATATGCACCTTGCTATTCTCAATGGAATGTTGTAACAATAATCATTTGTTGGGACTTGGAGAAATAATAAAGAATACTTAAAAAAATTACTAAAATATTAAAAACTTAAACAAAACAAAAAAATTGCTCTTGTGTACTTTGGAGATTGTGGGAGAATGTGAAAATGTGAAAATGTGGTGAATAGAATGAATGACTGTTGTGATGCAAGTGAGATGAAGACAGGCCCCAGGAAGAGGATCCTAGAGAGATGATATAGTAAAGACGACACAAAAGATTTCCGAAATATGTCAAGAGATATGATTCTTTTGGTGCTAGAGAGCAGAGGGAGCTGGAGCTAGCCCCAGTTAGTATCACCAAAAGCTCTGATACATCCGAATCGAGCTATTATCCTCATAGCTACCTAGTTTACCTGATTCAATCCATCTCTGAATGGCTTCGTATTCTAGCCTGCGCTTCCTGTGTTGTCCTGGAGAGAGTCATACTTGAAACAGAAGTTTTAATTACGTCATCGCTTTTTTCAATAGCTTCACAGTTTCGAGTGTTTACTACTAGAATTTATGTATATCAAAGTTATGTACAGATGATAGACAGCGGTAGGAAGAACTATTATACTTCCGGCTCTGTACAAGGTTGGAAAAGGGTTTGTCGTTTAATCTTTCTTGGCATTCTGATCTTCGGAGCTAATTTTGTCGCTTCTCTTCTGCGAAAGAAAAGCTTATTTTTCGGTTCGGCGAGTTATGGCGTTGATTTGTCACGTGTAAGGGTCATGTGATTTAAAGGGGGAATGTTGTATTACCAATATCTTTGGATTCGAGAGCTTTGGAGCTCGATATGAATCGTTTTGCAATTGAAATTTCGTATGAGTTAGTTATCCCATACTTTGAAGTACTTCAAAATGTCATAATGTGTACACCTGCCCCGATCAGATGCAAGTGAAGAATTCTAACCACCCAGGAATCAACGAAATGACGAAAGTGAAACCTAGCATCAACTGTTTTACGGTATAGGAAAAGCCAGCAGAATCAAAACTGTTCCGAAACAGCATCAGAACAAGTCGCGAGTGGGTATGAAACGATGGTAAGATCTGCAACGAATGGGTAGAAACCGGAAGTCTATGGTTTGGTATAGACAAGTTGCGCTGGAACTGACGGCTCGTTTACTGTTGGTATTTAGATTACAATAAAAACTATTGAATAACGCCGAATTAGTGAGGGAATAGCGATAGAACAACTGCATGTATTGGAATATACTCTCCTGGGCCCTTACGAATAGGCGAAGTTGAAAGAGTTTCCGGCCAAATCGCCAATGGATTGACTTTACATCTCGAGTTACAAACAAAGCTCAAAGTCTCTTTGTAATAGCTACATAACTATAGAAGAACAATCCCGAGCGGGAACTATATGAGGAATGGTATCCTCAATTAAACATTGTATCTTCTTCTCCCAGACAGACTAGATCTGAATACCACTTCCCTCCTTTACACAAACAATCGGATCGAAACTCCAGTATTTAAATCTAATCAATCATAGTAGCTACCCAGATTACTACTTCAACGAACCAACAGTCCACCGCCTCCATGACAGCGACACGGGTCGTCGTGTACAGATGTACACACGAGCTCCCAGACACCGAGGCATACATACAGCGGGCCCATGCCGCACCCTACCAATACCGAAACCCCATCGTAAACCGTTTAAGGAGAGCCTTCACCTTAAACGAAACAGTCAGAAGACCAAGCATGGACCTTTGTCCTGTATGCCAGGCAAAGAGCCGCCAGCGTTCTCGACCAGCACCGCAAGCGCAACCCAGCCCACGTCCTCGCGGACAGACCATACAAGATCGCACACATCCGGTACACGCACCTCAGTTAAGAATCCCAACCCCAGCTCGCGACTCACCAGACTCAGCCAGCTCCCAGCCTCTTGTTCCACAACCATGGAACATGGCCGAGAGTCCGCCTGATCTACCAGTTCTCCTTCCGCCTCGAAACACAGTCACTCCCCCACCACAAGCCAACGAAAAGTTGTCGAACATGGCGGAAGGTCCACCAGACCTCCCTGTTCTTCAATTCCCCAGCGCGACCGACTCTCAGCCACAGACCAACGCACAGCCATGGAACCTCCCCGGGAGTTCCACCGGCTTGCCAGGCTCAGACGTGCTCATTCGGGGATGGGATGCGATGAGACGTCGAGGTGCACGCCAACGAAATCTTGCAAGACAAGAGCTTCAAAGGCGTGCAAGCGATGCCCCACGCAGATCGTCCCCATCACCACCCTCGCCTCCGCCAAAGGACCATGGTGTACACCCCGGGTGCACGCCTGGATCAGACAGCAAACGTCCGAGACTCTCAAGAAACACCACGACCGAATCACCCAACCACTCGAGCCCCAGTCTTCCGAGTCCAGACCAAGAACTCCGGTCATCTTAATCCCCGACCCTCTCACTTTGACTCCTTCTACCACTCGTGGTGAGGAGGAGCGAGGTGAGGAGCGAGGTGAGTCGCCAACCGATCCGGGGATGAGGTTTCCGGATTGGCTTTGAGAGACCGGTGACGAAGGGGGGGTGAGGCTGGAATCGGACCTACGACAGAAACGAACCACGGACCACGGACCACGGACCAATGTACTCACAGTCGGACTCTGGAGTTTTGTCTAGAAGTGAAACAGAATCTTGTTTTATTGTATATAACACGGTTCAAATGTAAGTAATACAAAAAGAATTAAAATAAACCTAACCAGTACCTTAAAGTACCTAATAAAAATGTGATTTGAAAAAAAAGATGATGAATAGTGATGTGAACCTTAATAAAGTGTGGATATTGGTGAGCCATTGCTGGATGGAGCTTTGATAGCTTTGCTTAATGCCTCACATCGTTATATGTACCACTGTATGTGCTATCAAACTGACTATCAATGGTACCAGGCGGTGTAACATCTATTGGATTTATAGAATTTCGGTTGGAAAAGTCGAAATTCAAGTATCTGTGTTCGATATTCGATAGCCGAGTGATTCGTGGTGAACCCAGAATCCGTATGATTGGACATACAGAATTGCTGATAAAAGTCACTTATTGGACTTTTGGTAAGCAGAAGTCATTGAATAATCATCACAGTATCTAATATTGTATCAATATGATTAAATTGTATCAATAGAAGCCAAATTTGCAAAGAAAGCATCCCTATAAAAAAAGCCAAGAAATTGACACGTGACTCGCCCCCTGAAATCAACCAATGTGCAAATGTGAAAAACGTGAGTTTGACCGGAGAATAGATTGCGCAATAGGCATGTAAAATAAGTGCTGAATAATATCAAAATAACGACATCTATTCTGTACCTGGGTGATAAGCTTTGACTAGCTGCGAACTAGTTTGTGGTAATTTGCGGGGGAAACGAGCCCGAATTCCACGTGGTATGATGACATTAAAGTCCACCGTTTTGGGCACAGAAGCTGAACAGTTTGTAAATAGATACTCTACAATTAGAAACAGGTCTGATGCGCCGTTTTGCAAGCTGGTTACAGTATGTTGAGCACGATAACGCTCAGAAAGCAAATGAGCTTGAGCAGATGCACCTTCACTTGACCAGCTGTTCACCTTGAACTCCATTATCACACAGTTAAGTGAACAATGCCAGTAGTTACTAGAACAACTCCATCCAAATACTATATAAAGTCTCGGAAATCCTTCTCTTATTTTTCTTTCCTCGTCCTCAGAGCTTCTCAGTCTAACCAACAGAAAAGCAAAGAAACCAAACCAAACCACTCACCCACAAACAAACAACATGGTCAATCATCTCGTCTTCGAATGCGGCCACCGCTTCCCCGAATTCCCCTCCAAGCTCAAGAAACTCAAGAGAGCCTTGAGCATTCGCAGAGCTCTCAGCACGAAAGCAAAGGTCCCCAAAGACATCGCACGAGCAGGCCTCTGCGAAGTTTGCGCCGACTTTTCGGTTCAGGACTTCCTCGCCGCAGGAACCCACGCCGAAAACGTCAACAAGACCTTCGCACAACTTCGAGAGGAGCGCGTCAAGGAGGCGATCGCGGCAGCCAAGGAGGCAGCAGAGCGAGAAGGGGAAGAAGAGAGCACTCCCAAACTCCAGCACCCGACACCCCAACACCACCTCAAGCGTAAGCCCGTCCCGGAATCCGCAGCCATCGGACCCTTCGACGGAGAGGAGGACGACGACACCGAATGGCTCCTCGCCAAGGACCCAGAAGAATAGGCGGTCATCGCAGATAGCTAACTCAAACGCTGAGTAGCTAGAGCGAACCGGACAGACCTCGACCGCGGGAACAAGGAACCAACAGGGAACCTAAAAGGGAAAAAAACACAAAAAAACTAAATTGACACCCGGATAAAGGCGTTACTTCAATATCAATCGATTCCATACAATAAAACACGACCATTAATCTGAAACCCCTTGCTACCCATATGCTACTCCAACTTAACGAAAGTGACTTGATATTCATGCAACAATTAGACACCACAACCTATGACTATGAATTGGAGAATTGGATTCAGGCAATTTCTGGACTGGAATGATATTGCTTCTTTAGACTTTCCGTGGATTATATACGACATAAAATTTTCTATATAACGTTGATTAAAAACAGAGATATTTGTTTCTTGCTTGCTTTTTATTGAGGACTTGTGAAGCTCAATTGAGCGTTGAATCAAATATCGCTTGAATCCCCTAGACATTTCGAGAACAATCACGTGACCGTACACAACGAACTACTGCATGGATGTAGAAATTTTGTTTCAATGAAGAAGTCTCCCGAGGCAGTTTACTATCAGTTAAGTGATTTCTAGAACTGTCACTATTTTCTAGTGGTTCAAGTTAGCCTGAAATGGACGATCCTAAAACAGCGCCTGAACAAGTCTCTCTACGCTGTTCATAAGTGGCTGGATTGGAACCCCGAAGTTGACGAATTTTTCTTTCCATCTCGACTCACGCCCATACGATTACATTTGAATTTTCTAACAAACAGAATAACAAGAACATCGCAATCATGTCCACGACACTCGTCACCACATACGCTTGCGGACACGAAGAACGTTCAGCTACTCAAATCGGCGAGGAACAACAGCCGGGAGTGATGGGAATAATCCGACGAATGAGCTGCAGAAATCAACCTGGAGCTGTGATTGCGGATTCGGCACTTTTGTGTACAACGTGTCGGGAAAAGCCACATCCAGAACCACTCAGATCTCATCCGGTCATAATCACCCATCCGCGAGAACCGAGACAGCTTCACAATGATGGTGTGAATCCGTATGCCAACGAGTTTGCTGAACTTCCAAAGTATGGCGCACATGACTTCACGCGAAAGAATCCAGATGATGTAGATAGAGATGTTTGCCGCCGGCCACTAGTTCCCATCGCCTCCTCCACGGATGATGTCCACCGAGTCGTGAAGTCATCGAGATGATTTCGGAAAATCAGCGGACTGAAGAAGCTATGAGAAGACGCGGCGAGCTGGCTGAAGATTCAGCAGATATCTACCACATGAATGGATTTTAAAATTCCAGAATAATAACAAAATGAACTAAATTTCAAATCGTACCAAAAGACACTTGCAAATGCGACTAATATACCCCTTTCGTTGACGATGCCCCCATGTACTATGACCCGATCATGATCAGACAAAACATTTACTGCTTAGATAATTAGAAAGAAAAGTCTGCGAACAGACCAAAGTTTCACTTCTTTATGTGTAAATCACGATGCTACGAGGTACTACCCTTTGAGCATTGCAAAGAAGATATGAGTATTGAAGACATCCCTGTAGTCAAGCATGTGCTCAGTCTAGCGTTAGGAAGCAAAACAAAAAAACTCACCAAAACCTTAATCACAATGAAAGCAAGGACGTCGGATGAAAATAAACACGAAATGATAAGTAAAGTGATAACTGGAGCTAACGATGGAAACCTTTACGCGGGGTTGAATGTCACGTGATCAATATGAATCAAAACCCCATCCTCATCTCAATGGCGAACTTATAACACAACACCATCGTGGAAAACAGACTACAGAGTCCTGCACTTCCTATTAGTCTGGGCTGTGCTTCGAAGATTTCCTGCCATTGTTCACTACCAATATACTGCTATGTTCTGTGGAGTCGAGGCGAGATCGCCAACTGAACTGGAGACAAACAATGTAAACCACAACTACAATGCCTGAACCAGTTCAGAACAAATGCTTCGATACCTTATATAAGTTTCCATGATTCTCTTGAAATGAATTATATATTCTCCATCCAATCAGTCCTAGAGCTTAGATTACCAAAACCAATCTTCTCTACAAAGACTTTTTGACCGTAGAATAATCTCCATTCTCAAGACCAACACCAAACCCAAAACCAAACCTAATCATGCTTTGGTTAGTCGGCGCCGTAACAAGTTTCACCTGCGACCACCAGTACTTCGCCAACCTCACTTTGCACCAAGCTGGGGACGCCGAAGACTGGAGATGCATCACCGGACCCGAAACGACCTGGGTCAAACATGACAAGGAGTGCCCTGATTGCAGAAACAAGGTACCTCCCACGAATCCAGTCATCCTTTCTCGTCCAATGAGTCCTTTACTCACTGCACCAGACGATCTTGAAGACAAACGGGGCGCTCTCACAGAGTTCCGTTGCGGGCATCACAAAGTATCCGCATCAGATGACAAGGAGTGCATCGTTCTCGGAGTCGACAAGCTCGGATTCTTGTTGATTCAGTCGAAAAAACGTTGCCCCCGGTGCATCGCAAACGGAATACAAGACAACTCCTCAGACGACCAGAGCAGCTCCGGAAACCAACCAGACGCAACACCATTCGTTCCACTCGATGGATCCGACTTGGAGATTGCCGACAACATGGACATGGGAACTTTGGCCAGACAGAAAAGACAAAGAGAAGCTCTCGCCACATTCGATCTTCCCTCAAGAAGAGGCAGCAAAAAGGAGAAGGCCAAGAAAATAGGTAAGTCGCTCTGGGGATCAATCAAGAAGAAGTTTTGAAGAAGAGAGAGGAGAAATCGGGTTTCATTCATTTTCATAACCTGTTCATGCGACTCCACTTGGCTAATTCAAAATTTCATTAGATCGATTCGACCCAAAAACTCAACCCCTCAAAAATACATTTTATTGAACTTTAAATATAACTTTACTCGTGCTATGAAAATATGATAATGTGACTTTGATGATTGTCATGACAAAATCAGAGAGCAATCGCTACGATGTTTGAAATCATCAAAAACCATTTTGGGACAAGACGCTTTAGTTATAAAAAAAGTTCTCAGAAACTCGAAAATAGAGATTGGAATAGCTACATATCCCTTCTAAATAAACACATAAATCATTTATTCATGACTTCATGTAGCTATGATCAAAGCCAGAGAGACTCGAGCATTCCCTTTCAGATAATTTCCAAATGAAGTTGCAAGACATTGGTCTCAAACGCATGCAATTTGTTAGCTTTAACTTTAGAAAGGATAATCGTGAAATTGGTTGGGTCATGAAATAAAAGTATGTCGTTTTGCTAGCAGTGGCAATCAAGATTATATAGGTTGCCGCTCAAATAGTCCTCAAATTAAATGGATTTGAGAAATCAAGGGATACCTCAAATAATGCTCAATGACATCAGGAAATTTGGTGTAGCTATATTGCGCTGAGGTGCAGAGGACATGGCTTTATCGAAAAGCAAACATGCAAAAGCGACAGAACTGCACGTGGCCAGCCGCTACACCCACTCCGTATCATGAACTTTTCCTATCGTACCTTTAGATCAGACTGAAAATCTTTCAAAAAATTGTTTGTCCAGCTCACATTTGTAGAAAGATACGTACGATGAACATACGAGATGGAAGGGTCGACACGTGACTTCAATGTTAAATTAAGATCTTCCATCCTTGAGTTGCTTATCACACATCCACTTCGCACGATTTCCTATATGAAACGTTAATCAACAATATCCCAAGCATTTTTTTAAAAAGAGATGTCGAGTATCGTGTATCTTGCTGCGAAGAGCAGCCACATTGTCTAGCTGGCCCGAGCTTTAGGATCTGGGAAGGATTCAGGCCATCGGCGGCAGTATCCTAGAGATTCTTGGGAAGCGCTTCTGAGATATATGTCTTGAATAATGGGGAAGTCTCGAACGACTAACTAACAGTTCTAATGTTTAAATTCCCACATTCAATCGTGTTCTTGAGACTCCCTCGCCCATTATATTCTTGCATCACATATCGTTTTTTACCATCAAATACATTTACATTCTCTGAATCATACGTATCTACCACATCTTTCAACTGCCAACCACCAATATGTGTCTAGCCACAATGTTAATAGCACTGAAGGCCAATCTTGAGCCAACAGTCCTCGTGAACCTTGGCATGGGTTTATTGGTCTTAATATTAGCTTTCGCCGGAGCATGCTGCCGTCAAGTATACACAAAGCATGTAGCTAAGGAACCATTACTTCTCACTGTTGAGCCCAAGAGCGTCAAGTTTATAAAAACGGAAGTAGAGACAGAAATGCGCTTCAATGGTGAGGCTGATCCAAAATGTTGAAGAGTGGTCGCTGACTATAGAATCTCAGAATCGCAAAAGTCTCCGGGATATCTGGCAATACAGAGGACAAAGAACCATCATATTCTTGGGTTGAATATTAGATGATGCAACTTACTCAATGTCATTGTGGGTCTCAATGGGTCTCAAAAAGAGAAAACGAGGAAGAAAGCAAGAGCCAATTTTTAAGCCTGGAATGCTCGAATTATTGTCGAAGTTGCATGCAAACTATCATGTTTTCAGAAGGATGGATATTGTAAGGCTTCTGAGTGGGAGTATAGGGCGCTACAAGGGACCTCTGGAGTTTTACAAATTTTAATGGGATATTGAAGCCGCCATTTTTAAGGCGAGGTTTAAACACAGGAGACTGCTGGTTTGGTCGCCCATGGCACGCCGGTCTAATAGGATTTTGAGAGCTTCAGCGCTCGAATGGGATATGAATCGCTAGAACCGGCTCGTATACAGTGTTATACGTGATGTCTTTTCTTGTAATTGCATTACTGTTTTGCCAATGAATATTATCAGACATTTTGAATTCCGCGATGGCATGTCGTAAAGTGCCATAGCAGTGTTATCGATAACTACTCGATGAACATCATTTGCCAATGCCAGACTCCAAGCGCCGACTTGGATCACTCATTTGAAGCCAACTCCCCAAACAGCTGCGCTATCCTGATACTGTGCAGGATCTACATACTAGATATTAAAGGAATCGCAATCCTCTCAGATAACGCTTATCGTATCGCTTCGATTGCGCATGTACTTATTTATGTACACCAAGCTGGGCGGTAAATATAATGCAATGCTTGACTTTGGAGGTGAAAAGCTTGTAAGAAGACGATTCCTAGTGTACCCGCTGTATCTAATTCAAGAGCTATTAAATGCATAGCGATTTTAGTGACAACGGCTGCATTGTTTTAAGCTGTTTCTTTCGCTCGAAAGCTGTGAACGGGTTCATCATCGCCACATGATTATGCTCGAGAAAATTGGACGTGAACGTTTCTTGGTATTCTTTATAGGGAGTTGGATCACTTCGACTTGAAAGTTTCCTATGTACCTACATATATTGGTCTGTGTAGAATTTTTCAACACGATTAGCTGACACCAAGCAATTTCTACAATGGATTTTTTGGATTTTTGGAAAGAAGGATATCCAAAATATGAGGATATGAAGCGCGTAAATAAAACATTCAATTGGGAGTTGACGTAGATGTTGTTGGTACACAGATGCAAAAGTTGAAGCGTGTCATCATGGCTAAGCGCAAGGATAAAATAAACATCGTGGTGTTCATCGCACACCACCCCACAAATTTAATACATGACCGACCCAACATATTCCGGACCCAATCTTGTATTTTACTTCAAGCAATGCTAATAGTTCATTATTCGGCTTCAATCTTTCGGTGACAATGGCTGGACCTTCTCCCTCACCGTACAAAACTCGATCGCGAGGTCAACGATCCAAAAAAGTTACGTCTGAGAGTGATTCAATAGTTACTCCTACCACGCCAACAGCCAGGCGTATGAGTGGAAATCAACCCACGTATCCATTGGCATCTCTACTTTGGTCTGCGCGTAGCTCGACATCGCAATGGGTGGTACTGCCTCTAATATTGATGGCTGTAGGTTTGTTTAGGTGGGCTGCTGGACTTTGGGGATATTCTGGTACGTTTGTAAAATCTGCGGACTACCCTGAGCTCTGTTACTGATACTCCACGGCAGGATTTCAAAGCCCACCAATGCATGGCGACTACGAAGCTCAGAGACACTGGATGGAGATTACAACACAGCTTCCGATTTCACAATGGTACTTCCATGACCTCGAATGGTGGGGATTGGACTATCCGCCCTTAACCGCATATCATAGTTGGGCCCTTGGAAAGATCGGAGGACTTATAAACCCATCGTGGTTCGCTTTATACACGTCGCGTGGACTCGATGATCCAACAATGAAGGTTTTTATGAGAGCTACAGTTATCATTTCCGAATACTTAGTGTTCGTACCCGCAGCGGTCATCTTCGTTCGACGATTAAGCAAGCTTCAAGCTGTAAATATATGGACAGCATCAATTGCTCTGACAGCGATACTTATGCAACCCGGATCGATCCTCATCGACCACGCACATTTTCAATACAACACAGTAATGCTTGGATTGGTTCTGGCTAGCATGTCTAGTGTACTAGCTGGCAGATACATGTGGAGCTGTGTGTTTTTTGTCATGGCATTGGGATTCAAACAGATGGCTTTATATTATGCTCCTGCGATGTTTGCATACCTACTGGGAGTCTGCATATTTCCTATCAATATTCCTAGGTTCTTAGGCATCGCGATTGTTACTTTGGTATCATTTGCGGTCCTATTTCTGCCCTTGTTCATGGGTGCTATCTACGACAAAAGTCAAGGTATCAGTGCCCGACCAGAGCTTGATGGTTTCGCAGCGCCATTACCCATTCTTAGCCATCTTTCATACAAACTTGATCATCGCGCTTGGTATTATCCTATCATACAGCAAAGTGCACAGGTCATATACCGAGTGTTTCCTTTTGCGCGGGGCCTTTTTGAAGACAAGGTGGCCAATTTCTGGTGCGCGTTGAATGTCGCTATCAAGCTCCGAAACTTTGATCAGGGTCTTCTTCAGAAAGCTTCACTACTAATCACTTTAGCATCTATCACTCCTCCATGCTTGATTATCTTCTTCAAACCACGAAAGGATCTATTGCCCTTGGCCTTGGCAACATCAGCGTGGGGATTCTTCCTATTCAGTTTCCAGGTACATGAGAAAAGCGTCTTGTTACCTTTAATGCCAATGACTGTGATGCTGGCTGGTCGAGGAGGACTTAGCAAAGGAACTCGATCATGGATAGCATTTGCCAATGTTCTTGGTGCTTTTACAATGTTTCCATTATTGCAAAGAGTAGAGTTGCGCGTTCCTTACTTCGTTCTGGTTCTCTTGTGGCTCTACCTCCTTGGGCTTCCACCCTTTTCTTTTGAGGTGTATGCGCAGCATAATGATGGCAATTGGATAGGATTTGGAACAACATTGATACATACGCTCTTTTATCAGGCAATGGTCGCTTGGCATTTGGGAGAAATTTTCTGGACGCCACCTGCTCCTTTCCCTGATTTTTGGGTAGTCATGAATGTCGCAGTTGGAGTTTCTGGGTTTGGTATATGTTATCTATGGTGCCTATGGTCCTTGGCTGTTGAAAGTGGTCTTCTACAGTCCTCGAAGATGGAAAAGGTAAAGGCGAAAGCGAAGAAGGTTCAGTGATCGGTTTTTAAAGGTGTGCCATATACCCATACACGAGATTAGATTCTTGTCAATTTTATAAACATATTAAGTACTTTATTGGTCAAAGATTACGCAGTCACACCACTTCCACAACGTTTTCCACGCGAATCTCAATCAAGAAATTAGGCAATACGAGAGGTGTAAGCAGGCAAGGGGCCCCTCAGGGGTCAATTCCGTCAATGCGTAAGGCTTCTGGAAGTTCGGTTACCATTGGCACGGTTACCGACAAGCATCGGCCATAAGCCTGGATTCCGTCAATCAATGATTCCAGCCCCCATTCTTTCCCTGCAGAATCCTACAAGTGGAGGCTGCGTCCGATATCGATTTTTTCTGATTTTCCCTAGTTAAGAATGGTATTTCTAAAGATATGAACTTCCTTGTGGATAAATTACATACATGCTACATTGCTAACATCGGGTCCTTTTTTTTCATGGGGATTATTTACGTGATGGATAAATGCAGCCGACACAAACGCCTCAGAGCTTCCGCACTTTTCGAAGCACTTGGTATGGATGGCCTTAAGATAAACGTGAATTATTATGCCCCAAAATCTCCCACAGCTACCGGGTAATACACCGCTGTACCCATGCCAAGTTCACTCAGTCGATACTGCGTGAAAATTTGGAAAGATTTGCAAGATTTGCCAGGCTGTTCTCTTACTCAGCCGCACACTATTAATGCTCTTACAATGCTGTCCCAAGTTATCTTTTTATGGGGGCTGGCTTCGCTGGTCGGTTCTTGATATGGAGAACCACCCCGCATGTAAGTAAGATTTCCGCCTGATTGCTGTACTGGTGCACCTTTTTCACATTCTTTATTCTTTGTTTTGTTTTTCTTGCAGCATGATAAGGTTCGTTCTTTACAAATCGTATTAATTAATTGACGACTTAACGTTCAAAATGATGCTGTCGAGGCTATTCGCTCTGTTAGGGTTGTCAATCCTTGCTTCGGTACAAGCTGAAAGTTCTAGTACGGAAAGTTCAACTGCGGATAGTTCTTCCACGGCTTCAGCGTCCAAAACAAGCTTTGTTTCATCGGCATCCACCACAAGTTCATCGACAAGTTCGTCGATAAGCGCTTCGAAGACTGCTGCTACGACGCATGTTGTATCGGTTGGTGCAGTAAGTTACTCTTGCGATTGCAACTGTGCTACGATTGAATATTAATGACTATCAGGATGGCTTCAATTACGATCCTAAAGAATTAACAGCGGATGCTGGAGATACTATTGGTGGGTCATTATGTTGAACATCGCAGTTATGTTTAACTAACGAGCCTCCATAGAATTCCGCTTTTATCCTCAAAATCATTCTGTGGCGAGAGCAGAATACAAACGTATTTTCCCCCCAAACCATTTGTTGATAGGCAATCATTAATTTCAACCTCACAGAACCATGTATACCATACGCAGATACTGGAGCAGGAAAAATTGGATTTTGGAGTGGTTTCAAACCTACTGCTATTGTCTCGGATAATGTTAGACACTTGTTATTTCCTTTGGATCGATCAGACCATGCTGACAAGTCCTTACTAGCCACCTACATTCAACTTAGTCATTAACGACACAGAACCTATATTCTTCTATTGTTCGTCTCCTGGTGCTTGTCAAGAGGGTATGGTTGGAGTTATAAATCCCAATGCTACGCAAACCTTCGATGTTCAGTTTGCGTATGCTGAAAACGCAACGATGGAGTTCTCTCCCAATGAATATTTTCCCTTAGAAACCGCAAAAGCCGTCGCTTCTACCTCCTCTCATAAATCACTACCGGCTGGCGCCATTGCCGGTATCGTCATTGGTGCGGTTGCCGTAATAGCTCTAGCAGGCGCTTTATTCTACATGTGCGGTCGCCACCGAACCATGAAAGAAGTATTTCACAACGGACCATCATCCGGACCTCCAGCTAGCAGCAGCCCATACGACGATACTCATAACTCGTATATGTCACAAGGCGGCCGTACAGTTTCTGAAGCCAATTATCCAAACATGTCCAAGTTCGCATCTGGTCTCTCGGGCTTAGATACCGCATCTGGACGATTTTCACCTCATCATGGTGCTTACACAGATCCCGATACGAATAGTTTTAGAAGCCGAAGTCCGCCGATTGATGAGGTGGGTATGCAGACGGTTAGAAATGGCCAGTATCAGAGTGTTTCGGTTGGGAGTCCGATGGGAAGTCCTGGGTTCCCTAGTCCAGCGCATAATCACGAGTCGCATTCGAGTTCTCAGGGGTATGGAGGACAAACATTGAGTGAGATGGATGATAGGAGTGCACAAGACGCTTTGAGGTATGTTTTAATCCATTATTGGTTCTTCAATCCATGTCTGGAAATATTGTAAAAAGCGCGTATGCTGATCAATCCACTGCAGATTACAAGGAAAAGAAAGGCAAAACCAAGGTCAGGGCCCGATCGAGCTCCCAGCTCCAAGCAGAAGCGCGAGTATGACGGCGGGCGCGCCTTCCCCGGAAAGAGAAAGACCATTTTCGTATACAGACAGCGAGAGTGGGTATGCAGGAATGATGAGAAACGAAGTGGGTAAAAGCTATCGATGAGTACCTTTGACGGATAATAAGGATGGAGTTTAATGCAGGAATGGCATTGCCAATTCACTTTTCAGGATTAGGATCGGGAGGGTTGAAAAGCTTGGAGCCCTTGTCCTCGTGCTCGGAGCGAGACAGCTAGGATTTATTTATGATTTGAGTTGATTTGATTTGATACCACACTCATTGGAAATTAATGTACGTACTTAATTAGATATATACGGAATGGGAGGAGGCTTGATTGTAGTAATTCATGAAATTTCACAGAGCAATACAGAAATCCAATGAATGGTATGTCCTCGTTCTCCACCATCTCTTCAATCGTTCCACTTAGATCAATCACTCTATCTATTTCAAGCTCTCAAACTTCGACTCGTTATCAAGCTCAGTTACACATATCTCCACGAGGCTCCAAAACTGCAGTTCAGGGCTTCTGCATAATACTAAGAATTACGCAAACTCATCAAATGTTTTGTGTCGTGCACTGATTACACAGAAACGGTTCCCCATGGGTAACTATACGGCATGCTGCGGATATAGCGGTTGTGGATGTTTCAGTTGATGTTGTGTTACGCACGCTGCGTTGCGTCTGGAACGTGTGGACGATGACAAATAGATGATAGGTATGGATATTGGTATTGTGAAAGAGCGGAGTGTGGTGAGTAGAAAATGGTGAATTGAGTAAGGAACTACTGGATATTGTTAGTTGGTTGGTTGGTTGGTTCATGTTGGTTCTTGTGCTCCGGAAATTGAATCTCCGTGGGTGCGGAGGCGTTGTTCTGGGTAATTGCTTCGGTAAGTGGTAATCTCTCTCTCTCTCTCTCTCTCTCTCTCACACACACATGTCTGTTGGGCTATGTCCTCGTACGAGATCCGAACTCCCTAAGAACCCATTATCTCTATTTCATAATTTATCTGAACGGGAAACAGAGGTCCATATTCTTCTGAAAGCTAGGCGCTCTGCTTGAAAGTTGGTACGGCTAGATTTGTTGGAACTTTTAATCACACTGCCGCCTTTTTATAGCTCAGTTACTGCTGGTTTTGGATTACTGCATCGCCGCGCAAACTTTCACATAGCACCTTTTATGACTTATTATTACAGTCCCGCCGAAATCTACCAATTGCTTTGTAGGGTATGGGAAATTTTGAGTAGCTTCGAGGTAGTTCTGGAAACAAATCCACACAAGCCTGCCCTCGCAGCTGTTTTTGGACTAGTTGTCCCTTTTCTGGTATTGGGCCTATTTCTCCTTATCTTCTGGTAAATATCCATTGGAACTGTACCATTAAGCCTGGATTGAACACATAGCCGTGATGGAAAAAGATACTTCTCCTCTACCATGTATTGAACGAAGGGTCCTGTGGCATTGCTTGCTGGCTGTAGGTTCATGATCTGGTGATCATTCATAAGCTTGAAATGATGCCTGAGAGGTTATCACATTCATAAGCCTTTCGTTATCTGGCGATAATCATCTTACCGGAAGAGTTTGAAATAACTCAAAACCGAAAATCATGGAAGCAAGATGTTGGAGTCTCATGAACCAATTTTCATGAAATACTAACGGATTCATAAGTTGATCAGAAACTTCAATTTGACGAAGGCTTTTGAACTATTATATCAGGGCTTCGAAACTTCACTGAAAGATTCATTTTACGACTAGAAATCAATATGTATGTTTTCATGAACATCAAAATCAAATGATAATTGTATTGATCATGCGTTTTTGAACTTTGGGAAGTGTCTCTGGGTAGTCCCTGCACCCGCTGTTTCTGGTAAGGATCTGATGACTAATCAGTCCATAATCAGGGGTGCCGGAGCATCAAAATGTTTATTTCAACATCACTTTCATTATGATCGATCATATGTAAAGCTGGCAGCTTTTCGAATTCACGCACATTTACATGTCACTCGTGGAGAAGCCTTGAGGAGGGGTTTTCATATCCTTATTTCATTAAATTAATTCTATTCAGAGTGTTTCTTTCTGATAGCTGTTCTTGATGAACTTTATCCTTGCGGTCTAACTAGACAAACTTTTTTGATCATTATTCCCTTCATAACATAAAGATTTGAATGCTCTGGACGCTTTCTTGCTTTTTTGTTTTCAGACGGTTGGTGGAGGTATCTGATTTGGTGAAGCAACAGGAACAATTTCAAAAAGTAAACAAAGTGTGTGATCAGGAAAGTCGTCTGTATTTGGACTGCTGATATCGAGATTCGCCTCCCCGTACGACCAAATGGTTACGCTGTTGACCTTCTTGACACCCAGACCAGTTACTACATCCTTGTGTTGGTTGAGCAGAAAGCCGACGCCAGCACCATTCTTACTTCCAAGAATAGCAAAGAAGGGATCATCAGTTGGGTGTAAAGTTATCCTGTCTCCCCAAAGTGGTATAATGTTATGTCCACTTGCTCTCAAAGCCATCTTAATCATAATGTTGGTGTCTTCGTTGACAATTCCTGCCCGGATTACCCATTCTAGGTTTTTGACAGCAGCGGCGCCTGTAATAAAGAAACTCAGTGATTGTTCATCAAGCAAAGGGTTTCATGGGATAACAAACCACAGACTCTCTTATAGTATAAGAAAACTGCATCAGACCAACTCCATATCCGGGGGGAGTCTGGGGCATTCTTGTTGAAACCCTGCGAGGCTGGACTAACGTTTTTGTCCGCTACAAGGATTCCAGGATCACAGTTGATCAAGGTTTCCCATTCTGCTCCTGTTGGCTGCAATGCATATGTTAGTTCCTATTAGAAAGATATAGAAATTGATGTTACTTACTTCTACAAGACGAGAACTATCATGCCACAACTCTGGATCAAGTGTGTCGATCTGAGAGAATCCTTTCGCAGTGTGTGCTTCACGAACCAAGACTGGCATGGGCTCATCTGCTTCCCAAACATCTGATCCAAGGAAATTTAGTGGTTCATCCAAAGCTTCTCCAAAGACAGGTCCTTCCTCATCATCAGCTTTCATGACATAAGTCCTAAATCCCTCAGTGTAAAGGTTTCCCGGATCGTAGATCAACGCCTCTTGAGATACACCACCATTCTTCTGAGTAGTAAGAGCAAGACTGTCCTGCATGGTGCAATACAATTGTCTGCCCTTCACAACTCGTGCAGCATAGAGGGCTGGATCTGCACGTGCACTGATGTTGAAGGCATGGTTGTGACGATCATTGTTGTGGCGGTGACTGTGGTGATGAACAAGTGAAGTGATTGCTTGT